CTTATAAAATTGAAGCTAAGTATAAAATTCTGAACCAAGAAACAAGCATCCCACAATTCCCTGTATCATAAACAAGGGAGGGCCTACCTATCACTGAGGGCTTATCTTGCCTAATTCATCTTAATTCAGAAACATCATCAAAAGTCTCAATAATTAATAGTAAGAGAATGGATATTTCTTAGCCCTTGCTGATTTGAATAAGCTGATTTATCAAAAGTTTAGATTTTGAAAAATATTTGTAGATATAATATTCTCTCATCTGCAATGTTTTCCAGTATGATTAGTAGTGTTTGTTGGGGGTTTTCAAATGCACAATTTTTCAAAAACAAGTCCCAAAGATATTTCCAAAACACAACATTGGAGAATGGGGTGGAAAGAACATTTAGATGTTGAAGTCCTTGACATCATTGATTGCGATCTAAACAAGAGCTATTTGATTCAATATACTAAAAAGGGCGTTACCCCCCTTTTCCGAGCATCTATAGGGTGTGGCTGTGTGTAATTTTCCTGGGGGCTATGCCCCCAGACCCCCATCCCCTTTCTCTCCCATACAAAGCATGACCATTGACTTAAGGTCAGCTTCGCCACTGGTCATGCCCTCCTTTCAAACTTTGAAAAATGAGGGTGTCGAAAAATATAGAAAGGTACTTTTAATTACAAGTGAAGTCAGTAGAGGTTTGATTTTGGCATTAATTGCATGTAAAAACAGTATTATTGCAGTGATAATCAACAAAAATTTCAGGAACAACTTACAGCAAGTTTTGGCATTCTCTATCTATTAAATCCAACCTTATTGTCCTCATATGGAAACAATGCCCTTTAAGGGCTCAAAAGTTTCTGACTATGCTGCCAAATGTCTAGAAAGTTTAAAGCTCTCAAATCTGTTGGTTTTGGCAAGTTACACTTTGCTATCCTGTCCATTCATCTCCAGTGAACAGCACCAAGATTTGGCATTCATTAAATAAATAAAATTATCTCCTAATGTTCATTTAGTAACAATCGATTACTGAAAAAGCTGAGAGTTTGGTTCGGTTACATAAAGTGATCCTGCTGACTGATTTTATGTCCCAAAGCATCTCAAAAAGGGCATTTCCGGCCTTCCACTTCTCCACATAGAGCAACATCATTCAGGCTGAAAAATCCTGTCATTGCCATAAATTGTTCTTGAGATTAACATGAATTGAGGCTGCTTGGTAACAAATTTTTACTTGCATTTTACTTACAGAGAATTACCTCCCATCTTGTGGATCTAGAATCTGGCCACAGCAGCGCCGCTCGTTCACGAAATAACCAGTATTCTCACTTTGCCTCATGAATATTTCCCTAAACTCGCACGAAAATTTCCTCAGATTTCGGAAAAATTCCTTAGATTTACGAAAAGCTGCCTTTTTGTAAAACATATGGTAAAACAACTTTTGCCATGTAAAAAAATGTCAAATTGTGTTACTTGTCTACGTAAAATCTGAAAACTTCGGACCAAAATTCGTTTGTAACTTTATTTGTCAGAAATCTCAGTTTTTTCTTCCAAAAGTTTTTTCATCCGAAAGTTTTATCTAAACGTTTTGTGTCCGAAATCCTGGAAAATGTTTTCAAAGACCTATTTGATGATTCATATTATTTTCTCGCTTTACTTTTAATTCAATGTTGTGTTTGGTTAGAAATGTAAAATTTTCCTTTATCAAAGAAAAGTGAAAGGAAATTCCTGAAATTTTGAGAATTCCTTAAAATTTCCTTAACAACTGAAATTCCTTAAAAAGTTTCTTAAACTAAGAACACTGGAAATAACACAAGACGGTTCTGATGATTATAATGATGGTCATGCCCTCTCGAATGACTAGCCTTTGTTCTCTCCTGCGTCACTCCTATTGTTAGGCATGACCAAACATAGGGAACCAGCGTTATGGGCATGACTAAAACACAGGGTTTGGTCATGCTCATAGTTATGGGCATGACTAAATTGGAAACCCTCTGTACTCGACAATAGAAGAGCGCCTTCGGAGGGCTCTATACTTTTGCGTGGAACCATAGGGCTCCAAAGGCGAATGACAAGTTTTTTTCATCAAAAACTATGATGAATGTTGATTATTTTCTATTCATTTGAAACCGTCGTGTTTCGTTGCCTGAAATAGGCCGTCAATTTTTATTTAGTTTTTTGTTGATTTTTTGGATTTTAAATGTCGCATTCAGCGTTTACGATGGTCCTCACATCTGGTTTATGCAAAAATATTGATGTAAATAAACGATAATCTTTCTCTTGAATACTTAGCCCCAGCAATAGCCTGTGTGCAGACTTTACTATCCCTTGCGAAGGAGAGCCAATACGTAACTTGTATTGGCTCTCCTTCGCAACGGATAGTAAAGTCTGCACGCAGGCTACCCTAGCAAATGACCTGCCTTGATTACACCTCCTGTTATCAACCTTTCCATTAGCGCAAAGAGTTCCATTATCTTTAATCAGCGTCAAATTTTTTAAAAAAGATAAGATAAACATTGCGCAAGCGCAGTATAATTCCACGAGGTACTTTTTATATTCAATTGTAGAATCGTTCAATCACTTCATTCGGATGCCCACTTCCAAAGAAGTCAGAAAACCTCACATCAAGCCTGTTATGATAGGTTTCGTTAACAAAAAACGATCAAAACAGGACCATCTTTCGACGTGATTTCCAGAAAACCTACCATGCACCCAGAAGTCCACCCTCGTTTTTCTAACTTGCATAATTATGCAGTTACCGATTATGAAGAGTGAATTCGGACGCAAAAACATTCTGGAAGAAGTAGACTTCGTGTCTCTATTATGCTCAAAATGATGCTTAGCATTTTCTTTTGCTGCAAATTGTCAACCAAAGATTTGCCTCTTCGCTGACAATTATGTCAATGTAATGCTTGACCGACAGCAAATTCTGAGTATAAATTGCTGTGACATATACCTTGATTTGCAGATTCAGCCAGTCTTAATGTTAAACAAAATCCAGCGATATTTCCCTTGGAAGAAAATTTTATTGCAAAAACGAGAATATTTTTACCATTGGAGAGGTGCTTCTTCGGCAAGTTTTCAGATATGTTGCAGGGGCGGCTGGGAGTAGAAAAGTATTGTTATTAGCCTTCGAAATTAAGACATAAGAAGGTCCCTCCGCATGGTCCTGAAACTATTTAACAGGGGTGGAGCTTATATGTTCTTATTTAGGAAGGTGGGCAAAATGACCTTTTCGATATGATGGTGTAAAATAGCTTTTGGCAATACCATATCTTACAAAATCATTTGAAGGCACTGGCCCCCGTTGTCTCCCCCCAGACACTGATGACCCTGTAGTAATGTAGTTCATCCTACTAGTTTTGGGTGAAGGATCGGTCCTACGAAATACAAATGAATTATGGCTGCGGCAAATTACTCGAGCGAAATCGTGTTTTGATACAGCGGTTTGCTGCCCAGTAATGGAGCCCCAAGGTATTAGCCCATTAATTCTAATACCATGAGGCTTTTGGCCCGCGAATGAGATTCTATTACGATAAAGCGAGCGATTTACTTTAGAGTAATGCAGCAAAAAAACGTAAGATGTATCATTTGATTTGAGAAACCGAGAGAAATCATGTGAGAATGTTGCCTGTGACTCTACGGTCATATAGAATCAAAGTTTTACAAAACATACAGTTCATACAAAACAACTTTTACAACTGCCTTTAGCTTAAACAAATTATTTCATGACTGTTGCTCTTTATATTCAGTGTCTAAATTTTGTCAATCCATCCAAAGGCATTGCTAGCAAAAGTACAGCTACATTTTGTAAATTCATAAAGTTAATTTCCAGAAATATTTTTTCTATAAGCTGAGGCCTTAAAATAGAGCTGGGGCTCTTTCCACCGTCCCTTCCACTGACAGTGGCCCTCGTAGTATTAAAAATGAAAAACTAATACCTTACTGCTGTTCACCCATTCTTCGACCATGGCTCAACAAGAGAAATTCACGTCATGCAGACCACAACAGACAAAAGAAATTTCGGGGCAGTGAATTAGTTTTTGGAGGCTAATACCATGGCCAGGGCTGCTGATTACGGCATTGATTACACTTTTCAAAGATTTCAATGAGGATTAGGAAAGCTTTCATTCAACGAACAGAAAAGCAAATATAGCTTGGCTATATGAATAGAGCTGGTCGCATCGATAAAATTGTTGTGAAAAAGTGGCAGCGTACAAAAAGCAAAATAAATTTCCTGCAATCTCAGAGACCCAAAGTCGCCTTCCTTTGAAAATAAAAAGGTATTAGACTAATACCTTAAATACCACCCCACGCCGCCCCTGATATGTTGCTAAATATAGGATGGCTCCTCCACTGTGTTCGACCGCTGATGGCTCCTCCAAATGGGATCGAGGCACCTCCCTTGTGGATAAAATCTAGCGACGGCCCAGGGGTCAAATGAAATTTTCGTTGTTCTTGTCCGATTTCTTTTTTACTAATTTTAAAGGTCTATGCTTGACATATATGTTTACCATTCGACCGTTCTGACCTACTTATGAATTTCAATGTGGTGGTAATTTTATGCCAATTGGTGTGTGAAAGTGGAATTAACAATCGTTATTTCGTAAAATTTCTACATACGTTATTCGTTTTAGAATGCTATGCAAGTTTTGACACTTATTTCTACTGTTTTAGTTCCCCATTCAGCTGCAAAATAAATGTCAAAGCTTAAAGGGTGACCTAGGAAAATTTGGTTAAATTTCATACCCTGACAAACATATTATGTTCCAATCAGATATTCCCACTGTAGTTCAGGCTTAACTAAATGTTGGAAAAACATAATGGAAAAGGTTATTGTTTTCTTTATGAATCCTTTCATGTGGTTTTCTGATGTGGGTGTACTCTCCAATAGTTTTCAATTCGCCTCCTTCCCTTTTGTCAAGTCCTAGGCAACGCTTTTCTTTATTGCACAATGGCATTGTCACTGCAATTCTATTGCAAAATACTATCTCCCTTGAGAGCTCTATTTCTTTTCGAAAGAAGTGTTTGTCTTCTTTCTTGTTATCTTGCAATCCGCCTTTGCTTATAGTGATCTCAATAGATTGTTTTGGTTTAATGTTTATGTATCTCAATCGAATATTTTTTTGCAATGTTAGCACAGGGTGGTTTCATACGAATGCAAATTAGCTATAAGCCTGTGGTCTTAGCATTGATGTTGCTAGCTGACGTTTTGTTACCAAGCGAGAAGTCACACTCTGCGAATTTTTTGTAAAGGAGAAAACGTGAAAGCGTTGGGAGTACACGCATTTGAGGATGTAACAACTTCGATTTCTTGTCACTCGGAGCAGGTGCCGCAATATTATTTTGCAGTCTCGGATTACACAAAATTTAGGGCGGCTCAGGACTTGGACTACGAATCATGGGTCACGTTTTCGTGTTTGTATTAGCAGTTTTTCAGTTGTTAATTAACGGTAAGTGAGTTTGTTTAGCCATTTTTAGCGAAGGAATTAATGTAAATAATGATTCGGCGGTTCTTGTCTGCGACAAAAACAAAGAGCAAATTCAACTTCTCGCATTAAAGCTGTTATTGGATAAATTATTGAGTCATGATAACATTCATGATGGGGTTTTCTGGAAATCATAATCAAAGAAATGGATAAGCATTGCACGAAAATATACCAAAAATTTCTATAACTTCGATGTGTTCTAATATACATGTTTTCAGGATATCAACTAAACTCTAACACCAACTAGCTTTGAAACTTTTTTCACAAAAACATTGCTTTACTAGATACTCTAGAATTTTAATGTAATTTTAAGAAAAGTTTTTTGTTGAATTGTTTCATCGAAATTAGGCCAAAGATGAATCACGCTGTAAAATGCCTAATAACTATTTTGGCAGGTGCTATATTAAAACAAACAAGATGCGGTCGTTCGTTTACATGCAAACAAATGGTGTCAAAATCAAAATTTCTTTCTTTGACTCCCTATTTCTGATTACACAGTTTTCCAGGCGTTGAAAAATAATATTTCCTTAGCCAGGGAACTTGACCCTATGAGGAGAAATCTCTTACTAACCTCCTAACAACAAAATGATTAGAAAGCTCAAAAAGCCACTTAGCGGTGAAGTGAACAAGTATATTTAATACAAACTGGGAATGCTTGGTTCAGTTACTGGGTTCTATGGACCTTAAAAATATGGGTATGCTGTATCAAGGCACCGCCTAGTGTCTTGCATTGAGCAACAGCTACAAAATCTGGTTCCTCGCCTTTCATGGATTTATTGTTCAGAATTGGACATGAAATTTTCTTTAGCAGTTTCACGTGCAATCATAAAAGGTATCTAGGATTATTTGGCAATGTTTGAATAAAGATTTGAAGTAAGGTACTGTCAATTATAAGCATGATAGCCAAATCTGCTGACATTTGCACTTATCCATGTGACGTCATTAGATTGCATGAATCTAAATTTCTATGTATGACGTCACTTACGAATCACTTAAAGAAGGCCCTCACCAAAAATAAAACCGCTTTTTATGCAAAAAATTACCCACAATTGCACTGCTTACATCCTAAACATTTAAAATAAATTAAGGACAATCCAGCCTCGAATTTTCGAAAATTAAGAACAGCAAGGCCCTTTTATGCAAGCTGAAACGAAAACATCCCTTTTCGTGAATTCCATCAAATTAAAAACTTAAGAAAAATTCCTTCAACCAGTTGCTATTCCCCAAAGATTCAGTCACCTTTTTATTGTGGTTGCTGTTGTTGGCTACAGACTTAATATTTTCACACGCGTCTATTGTTTTGGTGTGAATTAGTGAACAACAAAGTTTGAATAGGCACAAGGTGACTGGATTCCAAAACACAGATTCTAACCTATTATTTTGATTTAAGTATGGACACAACTACCCTGAGTACCAGACATCTCTATTTTATTTTTTATATAGTGTATTTTATATATCGTCCAATTTGCTTTATTTCACGATCATATAACGGATAATTTCCAGTGTTCACGCCTCTCTGTGGCAATTTCTTCGCACTTGGAAAAGGCGGCTCGAAAACAAAAGGGAACACAAAGAAATGATCATTTTGCAGTAATATATGACCCTGTAGCCCTCTTCGGGTGTTTGCTTCTTTCAAAGCCATTTTAATAAAAGAAAAAATAAAACATTCAAATATAACCTTCTCGCGGTATTAAGAATGTTATGCAATTATTTATCATCAACAAAAAACATTTTTTTGCACAATTTAAATGGCTTTGAGTAAAAGCAAACATTTTAAGACATTCGTAAGCCTTTCAACTATCACTCTTTGGATAGCTTGCCTATTGAAAATAAAACAACAACGAACTCGCTCTGTCTACACAAAAAGTTATTCGTATTTTTATGTATATCGACTTTAGATCTGCCAGATGGAAAGAGGGCTGGGCTCCAAAATATTTCGCCATGAATCATTTGGCGCAATCTGGATTTTCTAGTGAATAACATTTTTAGCTGTTGAATTATGTCTGCGAGACACTGCTATCTCAGGAGACGCTCTTTGCTTCTAATGTTTGAAGGGACATTTAGTTTTATTCTATCCCCCAATCTTTGGGGTATCCGTTGTTTGTAGCCTGTGTTAAAATCTGGAATAAAAAATCATAAGAAATTGGTTTTGAATCAAGCGAAAAATGACTTAGTAAATTTCTGCTAAAATGTTTCCTGCAGCACTATCTAACATCTTTAGAACCGAGCATTCCTTTTAATTGGAATCACAAAATTCATTATTTCATTAACAAAAAGCTTGCATAAAATTTTAAACTGCTGTGTCTTTCTTTTTCTCCTTCTTTTTCTTTAATAACACTACTGACGGTAGGCTTTGGTCTAATTTCGAATCAGGCAATGTTAATTATTTTTTATTACCTAATAAATTTTTTGAATAAAACTTGGTTCTAGTTATCTACATAGGGCACTGGGCTCAATATGTCTCGGGATTGTCTCGATGCCCTAGGCAACATTTCATGTACTTTCCTCCATAATCATTTTACTTCTTAACATTGTTAATAATTGCTATTTTTAATACATAATTCATAATAACCTTCAAAGAATGTATGTTATTAAATGAAATTAATTCGAAATCAGATAATAGGAGCCAAAAGGGCACGTAAACTCTTAAATAATGAAAATCATTTGGGTGATAGGGCCGTTATTTTTATGAACGGATGGAAGATTCAATTTTCGAAATCGGGTTGCTCCCTGGCTACTTGAAAGAGGCCCTTCCGCTAATTGAAATATTTTAGCTTGGCCAAAATTATAGACAAACCTGTGGATTAGAACAAATACGTTTAACAAAAGGCAGCCAGTAAAACAGTGCAACAAGATGAAATTCTTTACTGTAATGCTCCTTCCCCGCTTAAAATCACTGATATGGACCCTTTGTTGTATTAAGAGATTCCCCCAATTTCCGAGACGAATAGATTCCCCTTTTTCTTCTTGATTATCTGAATTGCTGGGTGAAAATAGTGAAACAGCCAATCCAACCTCATTAAGACACAAAGTAAGACTAACAATCTTTTGGTGGTACAAAACTTGTAAATGTCTTTGAAAAAGTAAGACTACATAGGTACGTCATACATAATTTGATGATTTTTTCCGATCGGATAAGATCTCTCAAATCAGTGCCTTTCGATGAAATAAGGACGGCTGAAATAGGCTGGATTTTTAGCATTGTAAATTGTCCTTGAATTATTGATCTTAAATCATTGTCCCTGATCTCAAAAAGCATCGTTTGCAAATGTGTGGGGAGCTTTAAGTGTAGAAAGACATTTTTCATTTTTTTGATAGTAGTGAGCTTCAACATAAAAACCAAGAAGTCGTGATAACAAGGGTAGGAAAGGTGTTGTGTCATAAAAGAGTTTTTGATGCAGATACTTTTATTAATGCGCATGTGCTATGACCCTGCAACACTGATTGGTTTCAGACGGTATTGTTTCGAAACAAAGGACTGAAGGTTTCGTCTACCGAACAAGACTCACTTTATATAACAGAGTCTGGTTCAGTGCGCCTGGACCTCGTTCCGGTGGAAATGTTTGAAAGAAGTTTAGTCAATCTTACAGACTGGAAACTAGACCTGTTGCCTGCGAAACCAGACGGTCGGATAAATAACAAAGATACTCAGAAGTCAGAGGAGTTTTGGGAAAGCTTAAAACAATTGTATCTTAGTATAGTTCTGTAAAGTCGACGTTATTAATACAGTAAAGATTCGAATCAAATCAGGTGTAAAACGCCATTTGGCAACAAAAACATGGGCGAAACATGAAGTTGAAGTTAGCGCAATGCAGTTATAAAATTTTAATCATTAATAAATTTCGTATGAAACTTGAAATAATTTTTTTGTAATCTTTCTCATAAAATTGTATGTACTTGCAAAGTCTACTTCCTCATTGTGAAGGCAATTCGCTTGGACACTACGGGCACAGCAGTTAGCATCAGCACGTTGAAAGTTCACATACACTCTTTTTTTATAAGAACATTTTTATAAGAACACGAGCCTCAAAACTGGTCAAAAGTTAAGAAAAAATTAAGAACAAGATGAGGCTGAGCTTCTGCAAAATGCAATTTTTAACAACGTTTTTTCTCAAAAGCGAGGATTTTTAGCGATGCGTGGGTGCATTTTCGGTGAATATTCAAATTTGTCAGCAAATTAAGGCTGTCTCACTTCTTTGTTGGCAAATGAGGCCTGAACACCTCATTAGAGCAAAAAGCTAGCAATAGCACTGCTTACACCCTCTTAATTTAAGAACAAATTAAGAGCAATCCAGCCTCAGATTTTCGCAAAAATTAAAAACAGTCAGCCTGAACTAAAATTTACTGGTTCTTATGAATGAAAGTGTGTACATGCCAAAACTCCCGCACATTGCGGGAGTCTCCCGATATTTTCACTCAAAAATAACCTCCCGCACGCTACTTTCATTTCAGAGAAAAACTCCCAGAGTTTTTAGAGTTTTTGAATTTCTTGCAAGAGAAATATTTTTCACTGAAATGCGTTCTCGAATCAATCTCAAGGGTATTTTGCTTTTGCCTGTGAAATCCGAATGATCCACAGTTGGAAACAACATTTTTTGTTTAAACGTTTTTTGATTGACAAAAAGCGTTCATCCTTAAATAAGCGCCCACTATCTCCACCTTAACAAGCACTAAAAATGATATGTCTGAAAATTACTGACAAAAAAGGTGCAAGAAACCAAGAGAAAATGACAATTAATCAGCATGAGCAAGGGAAATTGAATCCCAAAAAGAAACTTAAAATTAATGCTAACTCCAAGAAGGCAGTTATCCAGGAAACATTGAATGAACCGAAAATCATGTTTGTAGATGGAAGTCGGATACAAACAATAAGGACAAATTAGCAGGAAGTAATATATAAGGTATTTGATGATCACAAAGTAACTGGTAGAATTTTATTCTTATCACAAACTTACTGTTTTCAAAATGGTGTAAACTCAGATAACTTTTTTTCTATGCTTCAACCTACTATATTTTCAAAATGACTATTCTGAATTTTTATACAAACGTTAACCCCTGTAATAAAATTCAATCTTGGACTGAATTATTTTCAGATTTTCTTTCAAATAATCATTTTCCTGTTTCAGTTTCATTTACTTTTTAATTCATAACTGAAAGGGACAGAACTTTTTCCATCACAGCAATTCAAATATCATGTAAAAACTTTGAAGCCTCTTTTCTCAGAAGTGTGCAATTTGATATAAACTTGCGCTACAGTTTATATAAACTGATATAAACTGTAGTTTTGTAATGCCTAGGGTTATAGGCCTGAAATTTTCAAGTAATTTATAATTTTTGATGTTCTATGCAATGACTGTCTTGTTTTTTCTATGTGGGTATTCAGAATTTGTTTATATAAAAAAGCAGTTTTCTAGGGTTAACCCCCCCGTCTTTTGATTTTAAAAAAATCTAAAACAGTCATTTCACTCATAGCAATCTTTATTAACTGTTTTTTGTCACCAATGTGCAAATAAAAGTCGAGGTTTGCCCTAGTTTTCTGCAGAGTTCTAAGAAGGTGGCCTGTAGTAGGACACTACCCCCTGTTTTTGGTACCACATTTTGAATTTCTAGGTAATCGATGCTTCAAGTGCTGCGTTATAGAGGAAAAACTAAAATTTTGTAAGAATTTTTCAAATCGGTATATGGCCACCTTAAGAAGCAAGCACTCAAAATTATATGTCTGAAAATTCTCAAACTTGAGCGGTGGGTAAACGAAGGAGTGAAACGAACCTTTTGGTGACATAAATTGTTGAGAAGCAATTCACTTTTGTAAAGAAAATACTAGATTTCCACAAAAACAAAATTAATTCTCGGGATTTACCGATTTCTACGATAGAGTGATTTGCTGCTCGGATTTCGGCAGTTAAAATCCGATTATTCAGATATTGAAGACAGGGACAGTGCCAATTTTGTGCCTATCACCAGATTTGAAAATTTTGTCCCAGATTTGAAGATAAAACAAGTCGATCAGTACCATCGCTTTCCGTCAGTGGATATTTATTTTAAGAATAAAATGTTACTTTTAAAATGCATTTTCCGGCGAACTCGAAGCATTAAGATTATAAAAAAATTTTGCCATCTTTGGCAAAAAAAATATTAGAGACTTTCCAATGCCAGTTGGCAATATGGCGAAGGTGTCTCTTCTCTCCACAAACAATGCATTCAATGCTGTTAGCTGTTCTGTGTTAAGTTCCGCAACATGCGGAAAATATTCTTTGAGTACAGTTAAACAGCGTCTTCAAACTCGATCGTTACGGTCGCCAGCATTAATTTATGCTGTGTTCTGTTCAACGTTTTACAGCAGAAGCTACGTTTATTGTTTCGCTGTGACAGGGCCTAAAACAAGAAATTTTTACAGATCCACATATTTTTATAAAAATTAGGCTTGGTACTTTGCTGCGATTGGCAAGATGGGCGTGGCGAATATAGAAACTGCCATCATAGTGCAAATAGCATGTCCTAATTGGGAAAATTCTTAAATGAATGAAGTATAAGTAGCAAAAGCTGATGCTTTACAAGTGATGTTTTAACTTATGAGCAAAAAATTATCAGAGGGAAACCCGTTGTCATGGTTTGTTTGAATTTCCATCAAAGTTATTTTTTCTTTCCTTTCTCCTTCGAAAACCCCCTTAAATCAGTCTTGCTTCCCAGACTCTAATGCTCTTGGTTTTTTGGAGCCATATATTTGGTAGCTGTTCACGGAACTCGAAACTTGCGATATTCATATATTTGTTAAGTGTTTCTGGATCTATGTTACTTTGCCAACCTGTTACTATCTTTTTGTAGATGGGAATCAGCCTCTCTACATCGGCAGAATTAGGGTTTGCTGCGAGAATGTGTGAATTAGGGTTTTCTCGAATTTCAATGCTCGATTGAATAAAATCTTGTTAAATTTTTGTCCGGGGCAAAAGCTGAGTGAGGCCTTCAAAAGTCATTTTATTCGCATTCAGCTCATCAAATTCTTTGTCATCAAATCTTTTCTTCAAAAAATTTGATACTATAAACGAGAATCCCGTTACGGATGGCAAATAATCTCTTCTCCCACTTATGTACAAATTGTGTTTGTCTCTTCTTATTCTCTTTTCGCGTAGTTTGAAAGCATGATTTCTCCCCCCATCTTGTTGGTAACGCAGACATCATGCACCAGCCCATAGGGGAATGGCTGGAACGGAGCTAGGGGGCTTGTCCTAGATTTTTTACAGCCACACCCTTTCAAACACCGGGAAACATTTGCTTCTTTCTGTCCTTATTCTTAAACATAATGATTCAGAGAGGATTTCAATTAGTATAAAAATATAAAACCGAGTTAGATAAAATACAAATTTATCTTTGATCAAACAAGTAAATGCACCATGAAAAAGACAAAAACGGGTTCCCAGTCAAGAAGAACTGCTATGGTGGCCCAGCATTCTCATTCAAAAAACCGAAACATATTTTATGAAATATGAAAAAATCACAGATATTTGTGGTAAATTTGACATTAAATTCAAAATATTTTCTGAGTTTTTTATTTTATTTGATGTCTCGTTTTGTTTTGTTCTTTTGTTACTCATTACCTTATAAAGTTTTTCCCAAGTATCATGCCTCTTCATGATTAATTCAAATTAAATAGGCTACCACGAGGAAATGAGGCGCTTATTCTTGCAAAGCATTGTGGTCTATGAGAACGCTTGGCCGATCGTGACATTTCATTTTGAAAATGAAAACGAAAATGTTTCTTTTGACCACTTTCAATGTGATTTCAGAAACAAAAAGAAAAAATTCTATTTGAAACTTGGAAATGGAAATGTTTCTTTAATTTTTTTATTATGCTTATTCTGCTTTTTGACATGTCATTTTAATCTTCAAGAAAATAATTTGAATTTAATGTCAAATTTATCACAAATATCTGTGATTTTTTTATACTTCATAGAATATGTTTCTGTTTTTTGAATGAGAATGCTGGGCCACCATAAACTGCCACTAATGGGTTCGTTAGCGTAAACTTAAAATAAATTTTCTAACCTTTGATTGCAAAAATGTTAGATAGGACTATAGTCCCTGTCATGAGACATTCCCAGTTAAATGTTTCCCCCAGCTACCAGCGAGAGCCTTTTTAACGTTCAACTGCTCTAGCCTTGAGAGGAATCTTTCCAATGCTTCTCCAACCTACTTCAAAACAGCACGACAATATCATAAAGCGCAATTGAGTTTTCTCCACATGTACAGAAGCTTTGGGTTTTGAAGTTTTCTTAATTCTTTTTTATTGTCCATTGCTCGTTTCTTATAATAATTTACTTATAAAAAATGAGTACAATACATAAGTCTGGGTTTGGGCTTTCACTTTACATTGAAAAGATGTTCCTAATTCTTAGGCTTCTCGATTCGCATTTTATGCTGCACTTTTAAGAAAATGCGCTATTTACATATCCACACTTTCCACAATTACAGTTCCACAATTTCTTTTTACAACTCCACAAAATGAGTCAGATCAACGCTTATTTTAGGCCCTGCGCTATGACCTTTAAACGTATAGAAATCTGTACACTTGCTCCTGATTGGTTAATATCTGCACACAAGAACGAGGAGAGGGGCGCACTGAACCTGACTCTCTCTTATTTTAAATAGAGTGAGTCTGGTACCCAGGGTAGTTATATCCGGGGCTCGATATATAAGAATTTCACTGTGCTACATTTCTTTCCACTTTTGCCTAAAAATTCATTTTGCACTGCAGAAAATTAGGGGGCCTGGCACCCCGGTTTCGCCGGCCCTGAGAACTAATTTGTATTGATTTTAATACTCGCCCATATTTTGTTATGTACCACTACAAGTTCCTTTTTCTTCCAGGTAATCATGCGGTGGAACGTTTTATTACAACACCACCATCAATTACGTATGCCAGGAAAGGCAGTGAGGCTTTTTTCAATTGGACGTTTGAGATAACTGAGGCGTCAGTTACACCAAATGTCAAAAATTGGTTTCAGAGTGACGCTGTAGGGAATTCTCTGGGGAAAATGATCATGACACAATTTTTGAACCAACCTGTTACTGTTCTAAAAGAAAGTTTTATAAACAGAACATCATATGTTCCAAATGCTGGAATGATTGTGAAGAATATCAAGTTGACAGATGAAGGGTACATTGGCTGCAGCGTACAGTATAGCAATGGCCACTTACACAAAAATGTCGTTCGTCTGGTAGTCACGGGTAAGCATGGAAATTATAGAGTTTTGAATTGCTACATCGTAAAAAATCTAGTCTTAGAATCGACTTTTCATCTCATAACCTAAAATACTATGAAATACCTTTAGTACCGAAAAAAATTAAAAATGTTAAACTTTGGCGCTATATGGCCAATAAATAATTTGAAGCTTGCTATTTTGGCTTGGTTCATGAGGTTATGAACAGAGATCTAATTACAGTGATTAAATAAGATAAGGGCCTGAGCTTAATTTGCCATTTTTCGGGCAGTCTGCCACTGAACTTAAGTTGCTTTCGCACATTTAGAGGCACATCAAGATTATGTAATCTAATTTCAAATATTTGAAAAATATATTTTTGTGACTCAACATCTAGGAGTAAATTCTACAGAATTTCATTTCTAGGAAAGCCCTCTCTGAATGCTTTTAGAATGCATTATTTTGAATTGATATCGCAAATTTGTCCATTTTTGTCTCAAAAAAGATTCCAGGTTAATAACAATGATAATTTATTAATATTTATACAGGTTTATTTAGTTATAGCAGCAAAGGACAGTTGCTATAAATCAAGGACCTGTGTCGAACGAAAAGCAGTGAAAACTATTAATTACAATACGAGGTTTCTTAAAAATTAAAATCAAAACCATTACATCTGTTTTTGAATCTCACTCCACAAGTTTTGATTTGTTTCCTCTAGTGTCTTTTTGGTGGTCCAGTCTTTTAAAATGTTTCTCTAATATTCTAGGTGCAAGACCGTTTAGACACTTGAAAACTTCAATAGCACATCGCTTATTTCTTACATGATTGATGGATGGAAGGCTAATTTTGGAACTATGTCCCTTGATGTTCCTCGCTATAAAATATACACCGTGATATTCAGAGTATAAAATATGAGTGGGGGGATCGGGGATGTGTTACGGCCCTGCTTTGCCTCACCTGGAAACCCATCGGTAGATTACAGCGTAATTTTGTTCTTATGTGTGCTATATATGTCCTGAACCTCTTTATGAATACTCTCTTTATAGTGCCTCCATCGATTGGTCTTAAGCTGCCAAACAAGACTGTAGTTATGGTTGACACAAAGTCCATGCTCAGTTGCCAGTTTGATGCGAGGCCAGCCCCAACTATCAAATGGCTTTTGGATGGAAAGGAGGTTAATGGCTCCCGTTACGTCATAAACACAACAACGATTGGAGTCTTCAACGACACTACACGGATTTTTACTACGCTACTGATTAACCTAACAAAGCCAGTAGACAATGGTGTTATTCAGTGTATGGCGATACTACCTAACGATAACACAACATCAAGTGTCAACCATGTTGTCTATTGTAAGTAATAGAGAGTCTATGATGAATCATTAAAAAATATTGCTCTAAGATTTCCATTCAAAGAAGCATTTAACTTCTTCTTAGAACTATCAGATTTCAGAGCCCAGCAACAATTGCAGTCGCACAGTCATTGAAGGCGACGGAGGCTGATGACGTCATAAAAGCTCAAGTGCCGCACCCAACGCTCTTCGTATGTTCATTGCTTTTTAAGAAGGCTGGGCACTTTTCAAGACTCTGCAGAGATTCTTTTCAAAAACAGATAAAAATTCAATTTTTAAAACAATTTGCAAATTTACGGAAGAAAATTTGACCAATATCCCAACCTTTTTCTTCTACCAATATCCATGACTTTTTCACAACGATGGCGTTGACTAAAGCTTTTTCTCGTGGTTTTATTTTTAGATCCCCCACAAAAGACGATGTTTACAACAAACAGAGCTGGGAACATCGGGGAGCTTGGGGCGATTACGGTGTTTACTTGTAATGCTGATGGAAACCCAACAGTGTTTTATCAAATGTATAAAGACGGATCTTTGCTAGCTAACACAACCCTTGGTGTATACACAATCAATGCGACAAGTTTCAACGACCAGGGGACATATTCATGTGTACCTGTAAACTATCGTGGGGAGGGCCAATCTGTAGCATTGAATTTCACCGTAAACGGTAGGTTTTCAAGCAAAACTACTGAAATTTAACGTTTCTGTAAGGTGGAGCCAGGCTCGCTTTGGCTTTCACCATGTTAGCCTTACTTATTTGTTGAGGAAACTGAGGCCAGATGCGTAAAATTGGTTTTTTTATGCTTCTTCAAATATATGTTACACCTTTGAAAAAATAGCCTATGAGATAGGCCTGCAAAAGCAGACTGCGTTACTTTCCTTTCATATAAACATTGAGCATGCGCAATAAACGGTGACAACTACTGCGCATGCTCCTAGCCTCGACAAAGTATGATGTATCCGTTACTTTAAAGGTCATATGAAACGAAATTTTTTATTGGCCATTTTACGCAATTTGATGGCGCTGATTGCGAAAATCTTGGTTAAATTTTCGAAAGATACCTGTAAGACACCAAAATTTCAAAATTTAAAACTCAATTTTGGCAAAATTTAACAAAATTTTAAACAAAATTTCAATTAGCAGTTGTTCTCAGAGGTTGTTTTTATCCCAAGCAGTTACAGATAAGATCTCCTAATCAATTTGATATGAACTGTTGCTTTTTCTTATCGATTGTAGCACAGAGAATATCATAGTCTCACCGAGCTCTGGTGTCTTGTACTTGTCCTTTAATCTTGATTATTGCTAGGATACGAAACTTGCCTTTATAACATGATTTAGCTGCTCAATGGCTCATCTCTTATCTCTATTCAATCTAAAACTCTATTGAACATTCAAAGAATGTTTTGTCTATGTGAAGCCATCGTGCTAGACAAAGACAAACCTCTTATTTTGAGAACTACGAAGTCGTTTTGTTAAAGAGTCATTGCTAACAATGAGCCTTTGCGAGGGTGGCAAATTATCGTGGCCACAATCCAAACAATGGCAGTAAACTTCTCCGGATTAACCATAATTGATCTCAGACTGTCTGAAAATGCATTAAGGGATGCTTGCGTAGCGCAATGGCTCATTGTAAGCAATGAGTCTTTAAGTAAAAGATGCAACCTTACCTTAAATTGAACTTAAAAAGATGGATAGATTTTTTGCTAGATGCTTAAAGGGGTCCAAGTATAACTGTCCTAAAAAAGTTTTGTTTTCTGTCCATACGTATTTGAAACGGTTCCATCCGTTTACATGAGAGGTTTTTGGAACGGTCCGAAATGGAACCATATGGAACTATAGTCTAGATCAAGGGTTCTTAAATAGTTTGAGTGCCGGTGCAGAAAATTATGTAGATTTTCCTGGGGGGCCACTGGGTTTCCAACATTTACATACCTTGTAATAAAAAACAGCTCAAAGTGAAATTCAGATCTCACACTTACCAGACTAAGTTAGAGATAAGATAGGCAGGCCTATTATTTCGTGTCTGTCTACCTTATCTCTAGCATAGTACATAAATCCAAAACATGGTTTTCACAAAAATTTGTAACTTAGCGTTTCTTGTACCAAGTTGAAGCAGAAGATCTTTCTGTGAAATTTTTAGGCTAGAACATTAATCTTTGTTAGTCTCCTGGTGGGTCGACTTGAAGCGCCTGAAGTCAGGTCCAGAGACTGTACAGCGCATTTTAAGAAAATCCAAAATGCGATTGTTATTATCAATCATAATCATAAAATGACATTCATAAAATGACATTTGTCCGCATTTAATTTTATATAGCTTTCAGGATACCAGGTTGATAGTTGGATTGCATCTTGTTCTAATCTGCCAATGACATTTTTGACTTCAGAGTCGCATATGTAAATAGTGGTATTGTCTGCATAGTTGCATTTTTTGGCTCTATTCATCACAAGAAAAAGGTCATTAATATACACGTTGAATAAGAGAGGCCCTAACACTGGTTCTTGTGGGATTCCTTTTTGAACTATGCCATGATGTTTGTGGATGAATTTAGTAAAGGCCGCCACCATGGTTCGCGGCAAGAAAATGTTTAGCTTATATCAGCCTAGGTTTTCTATAACTAGGTTCCATAATTTTGTCTATTCAAAGGTTGACATGAAAAAGGAAGGGTCTTGCAAGGTTTTAGAATAATTTTAGCATAGCAGCGTATATTTTATAAGATTAAACGATTAAATTTCCTTTTATTTTTTCTAGTTTCTCCTCGATTGCAAGAATATTCTGGAAGTACAGTCACAAAGCTGCTTGGTCTGAAAGTTTCCTTGTTTTGCACATTCTTTGGTCAGCCATCTGCTAATATAACATGGAGCAGAATTGGCGGTTTTATTTCCTCGAGGGCAAACATAACAGCACAGACCATTTCTACTAGTCAAAATTTCACTGTTACAAAAAGTGAATTGATATTGAATAGTGTATTAAAATCTGATGATGGCATTTACCAATGTCTTGCACAGAATACAGCAGGAGCTAAAGCTCAAAATATCACATTGGACGTGCAATGTAAGCTACCAATTTGATTCAATCTAGTCTACATCTTTATAATATTCACTTTTGCATAGAAGTTGGTTTATTAAAACAGATGCTCTGTCGAGACCATATTGTTTAAATAGTCCTAAATCATAGACGCCATCATTTTTGCCTCAAGATCTGACCACTATCTTTGTTTGTTGCTGGTTGATTCTCGAAAACCGTCATTTAAAACTATCTGTGCATAACTTATTTGTTGTCGTCTGGCGTCACCAAATCAATCGCTTGTTTTGTATACATTCCTTTAACTTGCGATTAGCAGAATTTAATAATTTATTGCCGATAACGTTTAATAATTTATTAATTTTTAACATCCTTAAATACAGGCACCATTCCAGTTCCATTTTTGCAATCAGCAGCTAAAATCTTTTGATTTTCTTAACGATGAAAATATATTTTGAAAGTCTTTCGCATCAGATAAACCCTTCTTTACAGATTCACAGCTTAACAAAGAAATTCACAGGGAACCGAGGGAATTTGTAGCCATACGAATAGAGACTGAACAGATGAGACATGCTGACACAACTTTTCTCAATCACTTGCATCTCAGCAAAATTTGCCAGGATTAACTTTTGATCTTATCTTTTTGCTAAAACAGTCATATAGAGGTATCATATAGAGGATGTTAAAAGGTCTTTATTTGAAAGCGAAAGATGAAAAAATTTGTCATAAAAAAAGCTCCTAGCTGAATAGGTACAGAATTGGGCTCAATCCTGGTCAAATAAGTCTCAGGTTATCTCCTTTATCCATTGCGAACATTGCATTGGAACAAAAGTGGCCTGTTTCATGCTCTGTACTGTGTTTTCAACTACACAAAACAAGCAAAAACCATTCAGTTAACATGCATACATCCATTATTTTTCTAGATGCTCCGGAGTTTAACAAAAGCCTAGAAAATAATTACACGCTTGTTGAGGAGCCTGGTAAAAATTCAAGTTGGGCATGCATTGCAGAGGGCAATCCGGTATTAAGCATCAACTGGTATGTCGATGGAGTGATGCCCGGAGCTGGCTATCAAATAATGCAACATTCCCAATCACTCTTGAACGGTATCCGTCTTGTAAGTACACTAACTATGGTTGGAATCACGAGAAGCAAAGCAGGCCTACTGAGCTGCAACGCTACAAATGCAGTTGGAAACGTGCAGTCCAACTCGGCTGTTTTTGTAAACTGTAAGTATATTCCTTTTCCCCAACACTTTGAAAGCGTGGAAAATTCACAGTGTATGTTTCTTGACACTACCTTGATCTGCAATCGTGACCTTTGCTTATACTGGCGTAATGCAGGCGTCGAATAAAATAGAGATAATGTGAGCTTTTCTTGCTATTTGCTATTATAAGATATCGTCATTTTTCTTTAACTTTGCGTTTGTAATTTACTGCAATCTCTTACCGCAAGAATTAAATGAGTTAGTTTCTGAATTGATAATGATTATATGTTTGAGATATTATCTATCAACATTAGTCATGTTGAGGAAGATCACAAACAATTAAAGCTACCGATTTCCCTTGAGCTGACTGTTACGCCAACGCAATATTTTTTTTCTTTTTGTAGATAAACCATCTACTTCACTTGCTTTGAAAGCTTATAACGAAGTTATTCTTGGAAGGAAAATAGTTCTTGTTTGCAAATTTGATTCACAACCTCAGTCGAGAATTCACTGGGAGAAGAACAATATTGAAATAAACGATTCAACCCATTCGATAACAACGAGAATAGTGCAATCCAGTATGTTTTCAACAAGCCTAGAAAGCAATCTTACCATAAATACGGCGACAAAGAATGACCATGCTTCTTATAGATGCATTGCTACCAATGCTATTGGCAACCTAACACAACTAACCTCTCTCAAAGTACTATGTAAGTTGAATTTTTTTATTGTCCTGTATGTGTACAAATGGCTTTACCAATCTGCTTGCAAAAATAATAATAAAAATAAATATAGTAAAAAATGAATTTGCAACACCATTTTCTTTTCCTCTTGCTCCTAGGCTCATTTGCTTTGTCCACTGTTCTTTAACTATTCTGACTAGACGAATTTTTTGTTATTTGGATATATTGATACTGTTAAATGGATGGTCTAAGGCTATTCCCAGAAACTGATTCCATGTAAAACTTAACCAAACATTCGAATATAAGATTAACTGAGACTAATACGAATATAAGTACTTGAATAAGATATGTGAATAATGCGAGTAAGTTGAATATATAATCTTGAGTATAATAAAATCCAGTCCAAAAAAGTGTCCAAGATAACTGGCTGCTATATAAGCATACTCCGCGCAAGTGTCGGTTCCCTCGTCGTCTACTGTGGTCAAATGACCTCTTATCTCCCTTAGCTAAATATCTAAGTTGCTCAAATATGATCAATACCAACGCTATACGTCATATCATCTGTCGCGTGATACGTATCGAATATAACTGTGTTAATAAAGGTTTATAAAAATAAATCTTTTTAACAATACTATATAAAATATTGACCTGTAATGCAATTCTTAACGTAGCTAATACTTTGTGGAGCTACATAGGCTACCTGGGTTTTTAAATTTTAGACTGGAACTACCTTTCACCGACTTCTTTGATACGATAATTTTTTTAAAATTCAATCTTTAAAACCACGTCCAATAGCTCCATATGGTTTAATTTGAGAAGAACAACGATAAAGTTAAGTTGAAACAAACGCATTTCACTTTTCAGATCAGCCAGAGCTACTAGCGTCACTTGTGGCCACTTCGAATGTTCTTGAAGGGTCACGGCACCATGCGATAGAATGTAAAGTGAGATCAAACCCAGCAGCCAACATTACCTGGACGAAAAATGGATCTAGGATACAAAATTCAAGTGATATTTTGATTTATGCGGAATACACTAATATTACTGATAGAGGATCGACATTAAAAAGTAAACTGGTGTTTAGCTCTATTCGAAAGGAAGACTATGGTAATTACTCATGCATTGCGACAAATATTATTGGAAGCGTCTCGTCTGAGCAGCACTTGACTGTCACATGTAAGTTTTTTGAAAACTTGATTATAAGTATAAGAAAAGTGAGTACTGACCTCATTTTCTCGTAACCTATTTATAGGATTGTGTAAGTTTTGTCTTACTTTCATGGCCTAATATTTTCTTAGGGAATTCGTTCTCCAATGAACAATTTCTTCTGTTCCTATTGTTCTCAAACAATGGTCCTTCTAATTCGCATACCCTTTCCACGTTATTAAACATTATAAATTCAAATTCCTCATCCTTGTTTATGGTACAAGGCAACAAGATTTGGTCGTTTCCACTTAACATTGACATTTTGTATATATGACACCTTCTCATCTTTTATCTTTGGTACGATGAACGAAAAATCTGTAGATTTTCTGATTCACTTTGTTTTGTATTTCTATTGAAATCATTTAATCAAGAAAACATCTATTTCCGTTGATAGATAAACCATACATCGTTGCATCATCTTTGTCCATAATTGTCACAAATGAAACGCAAACAGTAAAGGTATTTTGTGAGATTCAGTCAAGCCCTAGTTTAACTTCTGCATATTGGTTGCTGAATGGTCAATCAGCCAATGCCGCGCACAGGATTGTGTCGCAGTCCAACGTGGTGACGTCATCAAAGCATTCAAGAGTTAAACTTGAAATTACCATCACAAACTCAAGTCGTGTTGACAATGGTGTTTTTGAGTGCCATGCTGTAAACTCGATTGGAAATGTTTCTAAAAATACAACTCTCATAGTCAACTGTAAGTTGATGAGCTAAGTTTTCTTATTTTTTTACCACACATTTTTATACCATTGTTCAAGGACCGAGATACCGGGGAGGGGGGATGTCTTGAACCCGCAAAAAGTTAGATAGCATAAGTAAAATACTTTTATTTTGTAAAATATGGTTGTTTTTACACTTTCTTATTAAGGCTGGCTCCCAAATAAAAAGTTCTATCTCGATCTTTGCCATTGCTTCTGCAAGCAAACAAATTTTCACTTTAGGGTACATTTGTTAAGCCTTTTCTGCATTCCTTATGTCTATCAAAGGACTACGGCGCACATTAAGGATGAGGGTGGTTAAGATGTTTTTGGGCTAAACATGCTTAAAAGCAAGAGCAAGGTATTTACATCAAGTACCAAGTTAATCATTCCTGCTCGTAGTAGCAGTGGTAGATAACTGAATATTTGCGCTGCCAACAGATCGTAAGACTCCTGGATGCAGAATTTATGTGCTTCGCTCCTTCTTTGCTTTGCAATACTCATTTTACACAATATCTACTGTCATTGTTTTACAGATAAACCTTTGGTTACACAAACAATAAACTCATATTACATTGGAAATGAAGGTTCTGCTTTTAGTTTGACTTGCCAGTTCATAGCAATCCCTGCATCGCTAGTTCACTGGACTTTCAATGGGACGAAAGTAATGGACAATGCTGCTAACATGAAAACCGAGACATCCAACACGACTTTGGTTGATCGTGTTACAACAACAACGACGCTTTCTATTCCCAGACTAACAAGGGGAATGCACGGTTACTATGCCTGCCATGCAAGGAATCACCAGGGTGTCGTTTCCAGGACGGCTGAGATAACAGTTTATTGTAAGTAGACTGCAACATTCTAAACCAACAACTAGCCAAGTAAAGATTCATGAACAAATTACTCCTGAATTATAATTATTTTTCAGAAATTTGAAAAGACCTCTAAATACAGTTGACTAAGAAATTGGGTCGTTAAATGATTGCAAACAATTTAAACCCATTTTTCAATATTTTCTTGACAAGCTTTTAAATATTTTTACATCACAAATCTGTCCCCGGTCTCAAATCTGCCTGAATGAATTTTTGAACTAAAAAAGGAACATATTTTTGTGAAAAAAGGTATTTAAAAGCATCCTACTTTCTGTAAGCAAATGAAAAATTTATTTCCAAGTGTTCCTGGAATGTTTCTTTAAATAAAAAGCTGTATTGTTTATAATATCCAAAATTTTTTCCTTTTTCTCGGCTAATTTTCTCTGTTTCAAGTTTTGATATGCAGCAGTATTGAAGTAGATTTATACGTTTATTCTAGATGGCCCAGAATTCCATGGGAACCTCACTGGACAGCTTGATATAATGGAGTTATCCAATACAAGCTTTGTATGTCAAGTTGAAGGATATCCAGCCCCTGACATTCAATGGAAGAAAGATGGTGTACGAATTGTGCCAGGAAGCGTGCAAATACAGGAGAAGATGGTATTGGTTAGTCGTAATAAAGTGGTCCGCCAATCAGTTATCAGATTTACAAAAGTTACGGAGCAAGACACAGCAAGCTATACTTGCGCTGCGAACAATTCAGCTGCGACGAATCATACGTCAAAACGCCTCAATGTGCTGTGTAAGTATTTTCTCTGGATTCTTAAAACACTCAGTGAAAAAAACGCTGTATTTTTGGCTTTTTCAAGAACATGAGATTGTGTATTTACATCACGGCAATGCTGCTTGGATCCGCCGTGGTGTGGTTTCTAAGCCATGTTAAGTACATCTTTGTAAAATAGTTTCATCTGATTTGAAATTTTTGCTTAATCTAAGTATTTTAGAATAGTTTCAAGGAACATTATCAGTACCTGAAAAAGATCATGAGGCGTTTTTTGCAGAAAAGGACCTACTGAGTTCAAAGCACGCTTGCACCTAAATGTCCTCTAAATGTCATCAGCCAAAGAACATATTGCTTGTATTAACTTAAAAGTAGTTTCTGCTGCTTATAGCTGTATACAATGTTGATGTATTCATGTTCATTCTAGTTCTACCCAAACTGTTGATCCAGTCACACAATCAAACAGTGAATCAATCAGACAACGTCTTCATTGAATGCAGGGTAGCAGCTAACCCCCCGGTAACAAGGTATATTTGGACAAAAGATGGTGCCCCTCTGTCAGAGAAAAGCTCGAAGTACAACATCCCATCCGCACAGGTTTGCTTTCATCTTCACCTATTTAGTTTAAAGGCACCATGTCATGTTAGACAAAGGTTCACGCCAAAAGTAGGCTGTATGGCGCCTTTGTTAAACCTGATCTGGTCTTGATTTTAAACGTGCTAGTCCGCCTCCTTTCCCTGCATTTTTTTCTTTCAACGACTTTCTGCATATATGGAAAAAGTTTGTCATGGATATTTTGCTAGCAATATTTGTTCGGATAATTATATTTGAAATCCCTATTCTGTTCTGGAAAATAATGTAAGATATAAGCCTCTTTCATTTACATCTACTTGGTATTTTAAAGCAGCGAGTGAACTTTGCTGAGAAATGGACGATGAATAGAAAACATGAGCTGAATTTAATAAAATTGCGTTCTCGTCCGACACTTCAATAACAATGATAGAATGTTATAGAATGATAATTTATCATGGAATGATTGCTTGGTCTCCAAATGCTTCGAATTAGGTGAGAATGTAACTAAGAATCAATGTTGTGTTATTTTATTACCGGTTTGCTTATATTCTAGGGAGCATTAAGTGGTGTATATACATGCGTTGGTGAAAATTCTCTTGGCTCAAGCCCAGTTCTTACGATTAATTTTCTCGTTAACAGTAAGCAATCTACTTTATATTAACTTCTTAGTTGGTTATACAAGAGCAGCAGACCTTTATTGAATGACTCTCCACAATCTAAGAAGGAAACCTTAGTCAATTTGGTATTGCCCTCGTTTATTAACTTATACATAAAACTTGAAGTCAAAAAACATTTTCTGTGGTAATAAAGCATTCTGGGAATTGTATGGAGAAGCAAATTTTACTTTTCTGGAAATTTAGCATCTTTAGTACGCATTTGTGCTTAGTTCAGCATTTCGTCCATTGCTTGCAAAGAAAAAGAGCTAACGTGAATCAGCAAAAGAAAAGATCCTTTATGAAAGATGTACAGGCGGGAGGGCTGGGAAAGAAAACAGAAATTTTCAATGTTTTCTGACGCAGTGACTTTGAATAAGTATCTTCTATCAAATTACAGCTTTTTATCAAATTTGCATTTAGACGAAGACTCAATGTGCTACATTCAAATCGCATTCATGAACTCGGCGCATTCTTGAATCTGGAGCAGGTGTCCACTCTACTGCGTCATTGTTAGTGTTGATGAAGCCGAGGGTTAACTTATATCCTTACCTTGCACATATATTTCTTATTTTGTAATTGTCTTCCTTCCTTGTAGTTCCACCAGCTTTTACAAAGCAGGCCGAATGTAAAGCCAACACAACCACTATGAAAATGATATGTACCTGCGCAGGAACAGGGGTCCCCACCCCTATCATTTATTGGACCAAAGGAAATAGTGACGTCATTATTGGCAGAGGAAATGTTTACGAGAAACAGATTACAGCTCCAAGTGTGAATGAAAACTATAAATGCAATCTGCAGAACTTTCTGAAAAAAGAAACAAGTTTAGCCGCATTTTATTACAATGGTTCGTTCGCTGTTTCTTGTTTCATTTGTAAATTGCTAGAAATGCAATCCTACTAATATTCGGTCTAAACAATGAATTCTTACCTCAGCATGCATGTATATGCAAAAAAGTGCATTTTGCAAAGTGTTATATCTCCTTTGCATGATTCTTGTAAATTTTTCCTTCAGGAAGTTCTTTTTCTGTTCCCCTTTCTCTTCGTTTTCTCTTCCTTTCCTTCATTTCTCCTCATATCACCCTATTCTTAGTCTATTTCTTTACTTTGCTCTTACTCTCCCTTCTTTATTCTCGTCTGGCTTTAGTAACTTTCCATTTCTTTTTGGCACTTTTCCCGATTCATATTATTCTTCTCGTTCTTTCTTATCAGCCATGTGCTCTTGATTCAATCTCGATTGATCTAGATATTACTTTGTCTACAGTTGATGCTAATTATCATCTTTCCCAAATCACAATTTCACCTTCTAGTTAATAGATTGTCTACATGGGCAGTTTGGAGCAGCTGCAATGCTACTTGTGGTGATGGCATTCAGACTAGAGACCGTCTTTGCCTCATTAACCCATGTTCTAAAAATGAGCTAATTGACTTCAAAAACTGCACTGGAGTTTGTCGTAAGTATATTATACAAAAACTGCTTGGTATCGTTGGCCACTAATCTTTGTTATCCATACCTAACTTTTAAAATCTTTCACAGCATCTTCTTTTGATTTTCAATGATGTTGTGTAATCAGAGATTTGCTTACCAAAGTCTTGACTATGCCTTTTATTCTGGTAATCATTATTAATGCCATTTTGTTTTCTCACAGCGGCTAAAACTCTAAAGCAAGATGGTATGTTGCTTTTTACTAGATTTTATTTGCTGTCTCATTAATTTAATAGATCTGATTATTTTTCTTTAGGCTCGCGGCACTGATTGGTCAACCAAACCGGTCTTGTGCTTGCGTTTTTTCTGATTGGCCTATTTCGATCCACAACTGGGTATATATTTTCCATCGTGTTCTTTCGGAACCTTATTCTGACGTTTTATGCTCTGAGGAGTGTCAGACGAAAAAACCTTTTAGTATGTCGTAAAATGTTTGCTCTTTTCAAAGCCTTTTTGAAATTCTGTACCGCAAAAATATTGTTCAGATCTGATTATATAAGCTGCCCTATTTGGACAGCTACTTTGAGCTATAATTTGTTAATGATGATTAAACCTGCATATTTTCATAGACTTGCGTGCTTCTTTTGATATAACGATTGTTTTGACTCTTAACAAGATATTTTCTGAGCAAATCTTTCTTATACAAACCTCTTTTGGAGACATTTCAAACCTATCAAATCGTCAACAATTTCTGTTATTCAAGATTCAAGCGAACAAATTTCCAGCATAGCCCTATAAATGTATTCTTATGTATAAATGTAGCTTCATTTTTCATTGATCATTGGCAGGAACAAAAGTAGCCTCGTATGCTGAATATCTTGCCTCTTATTCATGTCCTCCTTTATTTTGCATTGCAGAGGCCTGGGCCATTGCACTATATGTCCTTATTCCAATTATCGTTGTTCTACTGGTAATCATTTTGCTATGGGTGGCAAGAACTAACAGGTAATGTCATTAAGCATATAATCTTGTTGAATTGATTTTGTAATCAATACTAACAAGATACAATACGCAAAAATTGTCTCTGGTTTTTCAATTCTTCCTGTTTAGGCCGAAATACAACTCGTCTTTGCTCCTTGCTCAAAGAAAACAATTTTCTCATTACCTTGTCGCGCGAGGCAGTAATGTCGTTGTGGTCTTTGCATTCTTCACACAAATACCATTCAATCTGTTATCATTTTTTCAACAGGCGAAAAGAAGAAGAAAGTCCAATTGTTGTGCCTGTCTACGGGAACTTGTCAAAACCTCCTTCAACAAGAAGTGTGCCAACTAAAAGAGACATTTACCTCCCAGAGGAGAATTTCGGGACGATAAATAACGCGTACTTTGAAGTTGCTGATACGCCTCAAAAAGAAACGGCCTTTTTCACTGTCAATGAAGACGAATATGAAAACAAGGAAATGGAGATCACCCTAGACGAAGAATACCCGCTAGAATCGACAACAGATGAATCACCAGAAGATTTAGAGACGATGTCCCCAAAATCTTCTAATGGTGTTGAAGTAGAAATCAACATCGATGATTCGCAAGAAAACAATGCTTTGCAGGAGACAGCAGTAGATTCTCCCGAGGATTCAAGTGTCAACAACAACAACAACAGTGGAGATGTTTCTCACCCAGAAACAAACGATGACGATGTTCCATATTCGTTTTATAATGAAATGGTCACAGCTCTATAATTTTTAGAAATTCAGCCGTGATGTGTTGAAGCTGTTACATCAAAAATGATGTAATCTTGACTACATTTCCTTGGATTATAATAATCAATTTTGAATATGTAAATGGCTTCAAACAAACATTTGCTACTGGAAAAAATTCAACGAATTGCTGAAAAATTGCATTGATAATGGGAAATTTTAGTAAAAATGTTAGGTAGAAATCAACTTTAGAAGTAGTTTTGATACTTAGCATTATCTCGACTGTAGCTTCGTCTTAATATTATTGAATAAATTGTATTTTGAAATTTTTGGATAGAAAAGCACCATCTTTGTCTTACGTCAGAATTCGATAATTTTTGTTGTGACCGTGAATTGCGCATTTTCATAATAAATATTTTCCTGTACTTTCACTGGAAGTTGCTGCTGAACTGAAATCGATGATATTGACTGGGAACCATTAATTGTCATATGCGTAATCTTCTAGCTGTATTTGGATTCTTATAAGAACAAAGCAACATTTTAGATGGCTACAAATACCCTAAAATGATGACATTCTATCAAATTATGACTGATTTTTCAATATCAAATCTTATCAAATTCCTATTTCGTTATATTCTTTAAAGGGAAAACACGGGCAGTTTTTAAATAACATTTTTCTAATCGTAACTATTTGATTGGTAACGTTAACTTTAATTGTAAATTGGAAAGCTTTTTGGTAATATTTGATAATACTAAGATTCTAAATTCAGTTTCTACAGCCTTTACTTGCCCGATTATTATTCAAGTTCTTAAACAATATGAAAACGATTATCTTCACCGTTATATTTCTTCATGGTATATCGCAAAACTGCATAACTAACAGAAGTACGATACGAGAAGCTCTCCTCAGACCGGAATAAACCAGTGCAAAAAACGTTTAACAACATCGAACAGTGTATAATTTAGACAATGTAATAGAACAGAAATGTTTTGAAAGTGGCTGATTTCATCACACTCTGAAATAAGAAATTCAGGCCAGCATGGCTATTTAAGATAATGGTGATTATTTGCAAAAATTTTGAGAATTCTATCGAGAATTTTGCAAGCACAAAGATATACAATAGCTCATAATGGTAGATTCAATCTAAATTTAAAGTCTATTTACATACCCCTTAGTCAAACATTAATAACTAAAATAACATTTACATTTTTACAAAACATCTATGCAGATGCTTACCGACACAGTCTATAGTCACTTGACTAAGAAGGAGAGATGAGCTACTAACGCCTATGGATTGAAATAGGCCATGTTGTGGTCTACATTTCACTGCTTTAGATCTCAATTGAAATAGCATAAGGTCTCTGTTGCGAAAGGAATTACTAAACGTTTTGCCATTACACGGGATATAGAAACATTGTCAAGATCGCTTGAAAACAAATCTACCATGACCAAGATAAGGGGGATTCGTAGATGAGAAAGAAAACAAATGTGTCACTCTGAAGACTGATTCATTTGACGGACTACAGGGCTGCTATTATAGGAAACCTCGATTTTAATAAGGCTTAATCGAATGTCTAATGATACAGCTAGAGAGGTTGATTTTGACTAGACGTTTTGCTAAAAACGAGTGGGAAATCAATCCTTCCTTACGGCATTTATCGTGTTTTTATCGCTCCTAACATAAGTTTTAATTATGCGACCAACACACCACGTACTGACTGGCCTCGAAGTGCAGAGACCATTCGATAACTAAATATACTCTTTTTAATACTCCTTTTAAAAGGGTAAAAATTTCTTTCAATTCTTTTAAAATCATCTCGAATTCCTCATAAAACTTTTTCCAAAACTACATAACTGTTGTTCGAATTTCTCATAACTACGGCACAAAAAGAAAATGCAAATTAACTGCGAGTAATAATAAGAAATAGAGTACATTATAAAAACTGTCAAAAATAAAGTCATTAAATGAAATTAAGATAAGAAATAAAGTAAAAGTAGTGATTCAAGGTCATAGATGAACAGTATGATAGTAATCTATGTCTTGATCGTGTCTTCGGAAGGGGGCAAACAACAGCAGAGGGAGCCCGATCATACAGTTAGCTTACATTACAATTGTAGCCACGCCCTTTGTATTCCTACGAAACGCTCTTTTTAACAAACAGTTGTGAAATTTGTTAGGTCATTGACTGTACCCTTTCCAAAATTTCGCATCGATAGGCCTGTTGCTGATACATAAAAAAACGGCCAAAGATTTGCCATTGAACGGTCTTCAAGAAAACTATTTTAAAATTTCGATAACATTTCATTAAATCTTGCTTTTTAGCAACATTTTCAAATATCCTGTAACTGTATACTTTATCGATTTGTAAAAAGGGGTTCTGTCAAGTCGGATGTTTCTAAGTTTGGTCTTTTCCATGAAGAAAGATAAAGGTGAATTAGAAGTTTGTTAGGCCCATCTCATCTTGTCCGGTAAACAATTCTATCTACCGCGTAGCTCAAATAAGCCCCTTTCGAAAGGCTGCTTTTGAAAGGTTGAAAATCTGATAACATCATTAGGGGGCCGAGGGTGGGGGGGGGGGCTTGTTCGAGAGGAAGTCTTATTCAAAACTCGATGCTAAAGAGAGAGGCTTTCTCGGAAGAGGTTTTATCGAGTTGTCACGGTAAATAAAAGTTGGCATGGTGAAAAGATCATACTGCTGTTAACATGTCACTTCGTTAACTGGAGAAACTTTACTTGCCAAGCGATGAGATCATCGTTACACAGAAAAAGTGATTCTATTAAGGAAGAAATCACTAAAGGAACTGTAAGTACCAAAAACCTCTGAGGACATGAAAATAGCCATTAATGGTTCAACCAAAGCAAGATATATGTGGCCCTGAAATCCTCACAGGCAGGCAATTATATACAGTTAAAAACCACTGCAAATAAGGCACAACTCTGAGATAGATTTTAAATTATAACTGACGATTGAGGCACAGAGACAACTTTTTACTCATAGTCAGCAATCATACATCTTAAACAACGAAAACATCTTCTACGTTTTCTTCATCTTTATTAGTTATTTGTCTCTCCATATTTTCTTTCATCGAAACACATATTTTAAAAACACACGGCGTATGACTTTAAAAGCCTTTGAATCGTTGCCAAATGGAGCAGCATTCCATGACGTCATTCCAAATGAGATTTATTGTTGGGCTTAAAAAACATGGCATTACCTCTTTAGTTACAGCCACGTTATAGAACAGACATTTGATTTGACAACTCGTAAAAAAGAACATATGCCTCTTCGGTAACAATCCTTGACCTGTCAAGCTTGGAGATCCTAAGGAAAAATATATAAAAGTAAGTATCTTGCCGTTGTTATGAAGCACACTTAAACATAATGCCTACAACAAATATTGCCACAACTAAGCAACCTCGATTCTATTTACACGGGAGAGGCCAGTATCAGCTTGTGCCAGTTGCGGTTAATGAAATGTTTAGACAAGAGAAAAAAGTTCCAAACACAACCAGATGGAAACTGGTTCAAGTTCGATGTAGGGTTAGTACTGCCACCAGTCTGTGCAGAAAAGATACATCTGAGCGTAACATTGCACATGCCCTTATTGGACCAAAACTGTCTACAATTGGGACCAGAACTAATCTGATCCGATCTGATCGGATCTGAAAAAGCAGCAAGGATCTGAAAGATCAGTATTTACGACAAAATGATCCAACTTGTTACAAAACCAAATATTTTTTCAGTAAGTAGCAACGTTTTCTAGTAGCAACTCTCTTTTGGTCGACATTATCAATTTACAGCGAAATGTGTAGCAGGGAGATCCTTGCAAGCAGCTGGAATTTCCGGAAATTTACACGCATTGATTATGAATTATCTTACAGACAGGACTCAGTATGCTGAGATTAATGGTGAGTGCAGTTTAACAAAACCTGTTAGGTTTGGTGTTCCCCAAGGATTCTTACTAGGCCCTAAGCTGTATAGTTTACATGTCAATGACTTACCATCTGCAATTACGCAAGGTGAAATGTATCTCTTTGCAGATGATACAACCGTTTATTGCATAGGCAAAGACTTGGAAAGTGTTGTAGACACATTAAACAGCATAATGGATGAGATACATAGTTGGTGCATACGGTAAAAGTTGAAAGTACATCCAGGAAATGTTCATGATGAGGTCTCCTTTCATAGGGCCAATGAGACCCATATTGTATGGAGACGACCACATAAAGATTGTTCAAGAATCAACTTGTCTTGGATTGCGAATAGACAATAGGCTTGATTGGAAGCCTCAAAATGTATGCAAAAGTTTTTCCAAGAAACTGGGTGCATTGAAAAGAATGAGACGTCTACCATCAAAAGTCTTAGAAGCAATATATTACACAACAATCATTGCCAGGTCAACATACTGCATTTCAGTGTGGGGGAACTGTTCTGAAGCCACATTTAATATGCTTGAGGATAACCATGCTAGGGCAGCGAGGCTAATACACAATCTACCTCGAACCATAAGCAATGAAGAGAGCCTTGCAAGAGCAAATTGGCAGCCAATCTCATTTTTATATAAACGGAGGCTGCTCACATTAATGCACCAGATATACTTTGGATCAGCTGATAAATCAATTGCACAGATGTTTCAGAAGAAAGACCCGGAAAAACAAAGAACAAGAAATAAACTCCAGTTCGAAGTGAAAAGATATAATACAAAGACTGGGAGAAATAGTTTCACATACAAGGCAACAATGATTTGGAATTCTATCCCAGACCAAATTAAGGACGCAGAAAATGTACAAACTTTCAAAACAAGACTAAAAAAGGTGAGTCAGACAATAAATGACTTCACTTTTCAAAAAGGATTAACTGGATTTTTAAACAAAGAGAATGATTTTAAATATTAATAGACTGCTAGTAAACAATTTTTAAATTTTTTTATCTTTTACATGATGTAATAATTGTTTCCTTTAGCCGTTAATTTATAGCAGGTCCACATCAGCTCTTTTGAGTTGCCAGACCTTCTAAACTACTTTGAAAAATAAACAATGTATGTATATATGTACGTATGTATATGTAGGGACAGAAAATTATTCGCGGAAAGACTGTAAATGATAAAACATGCCATTCTACATCGACCCGGTAGTGACATGATGCTCTGCAGTGGAAATAACAAATAAATGGTCAATACGAACAGGTACTTCAGCCTGAAAATGGAAGAAAACTGAAAAAATCGACTATACCTCGAATCACTGTAGTAGAACCAATCATCTGTGTCCGGGTGCTTGCAATACGCGGTATAATGGCCACTGTATGTTCCGCCGGAATGGTTTGAAATGCCATATAAATTATATTGCGCTTCTGATCTTCTTGCTACGGGTTGAACAAACAAGATTTGCTGTTTATCATTATTCCGGCTAATTGCGTTACAGGGATTTTGAGGAAATAAACTCGGAGAGCCAGTATTTGGAGTTGATATCAGTAATGTTTCCAATTACCGGCTATACGTTTGCTAGTGCCTATGACAATCAACTGTCAAGGCTTCAAACTCAAGAATTCATCAAAAACATCGACATGTGATTTTTCAAGAAAGCGAGGATACCCCAGTCGGTTATACAGGAAAGTCCCAAAAAAGTTCAGAACTGTCAATTGTAACAAATTTAACATCAAGAACTTTGGTGACACAAATACCAGTGTAGGTCCATTGTTACAAGAACAAGATGCGAAATGTTTCCCTAAACAAAGGTCAACGGTTCAACTTGTCTAGTGTCCAAGAAGCACACTGAGAAACAAGCGGAACATCACAGCCAGTGGCCTAAGAACGCTTAATCACTGCAAATAAGAAAAATTCCTAATCTATCATCAGAAAAGAGCCCGGGGCAGAAGGAAGATCAAACTTCTTGATTTGATTTGCATTAAGGTTGCTTTAGAAAGCTAAAGATCTGTTCCACAATCAAAAACAAATCCATTGTCTAAAAGACACTTAAAGTAACCTATTAAAAACTTTGAAGCATAAATTTGAAGGGAATTTAGCGATAGTATGCCAATGAATAAGTCAATGGAGGACATATATTTAGAAGGTGAGAAGCAAAGAAGGAGGCTACTGTGATTGATAAGGAGGTTGTTGTAATCCGACTGTTTTGAAATCATCAACATCAAAATTATTGATTAAATCCATGGTGGAAACATTACTTCAAAAAACTTTAAAAATCTAAAGCAGGATATTCTGCCTAATCAGCGAAAGTAAACATTAAAAGTGCATTTGCGCGTGAAATTATATGAACAGACCAAGGATGACGCTTCGTAACCTGCACTTACTTGCGTTACTAGCTGCGTAACTGGAAAGGTTCAAAGCTAATGGAAAGTCAATCATTGTTTCCAACTTGGTTCTATACCGTAAGCCGGAGAATCTTTTGAGATCTGAAGACAGGGTTAAGTTGAAAAACGATTGAATGCAAAAGAAACATGATTAAATAATAAAACGACAACGAGAATACCAAGGATAAGGATTGTAGGGGTAAGAACTAATAGTTATGATAAATAGCAATAAACTACCGGGAAAAATTAATTCCTTTCATGTTCATTGAAGAAAATGGATAGAAACAGGAAGTGGCTCCAGTCATCTGTCAATCAAAAATTGACTAATAAATGAGCATGATTCTATTCACGTGCTTATTGATTGGCTAATGGGGATTGACAGATGCTTTCAGTCAATTGCCTTTTATTGTTGGGTTTTCTGGTATCAAATGTATTCAAAGAATATACAAAATTTGAGTATCCACTGGAAGTGAACGCAAAAATATTGGATTCATTCGTCAAGCTGACGCATTGGCAATTACAAAAGAGTGGATAAGATCATTCGCTCAATGAAAGGATACGAATCACTAAAATCTGTGGAAATCTTTCGATGGAGAACTGCTTTAGACATTTTCTCCTTTTTTTGCACTTTTCGCAAGTCTGCAAAATAAAGATGAAAAAATTGATTAAAATACTATTTTATTTACTCAATGTTTCCGAATCTTTGTTAGGGTAGAAATATCATTGTAGAAAAAAAGATCGACAAAATTGCCAAAAACGATGTACGAAAAGAAAAGCATTTTGGCAATTATTCAAAATCCAGTTTTACAGCTTTAACCTTCTAAAAAAGTAACTTTTTCTCATCAACATTAAAATGTTCGCAAAATCTTCAAGTTTTCTCGTTATTCTAATTTTCATGGAAAATATGCACATGAAAAGACGTTTTCTCGACGTTTAGAACAGAGAACAATCCAGCAAGGGCTGCATTAATCGGGGAAAAATTAGCCAAACATTATATCTCTATCATTTATGCAAAAATCAGTGAAATAGTGGATGAAATTTCTTCCCGAAAGCTCTCGTAGCCAAAGCTGCGAAGCCCTAAAATTTCCTTTAAAAAAGGTTGTCAGCTTAGGCCCTTGGCATTTCTGAGCAACCACTTCGCCATTGATTACATACTTTTGTAACGTAAGAATATATCAGAAAGAGCATTATACAAAAATACACAACAGGTCTCATAAATCTGGAGCCGAAATTTACCGGCTTTTCGTCGCCATCCAGAACTTCTTCTTGGGTAAATCTTTTAAAGCAGTCGTCTAGAGACACTTTGCCGGATAACAAGGAAGTTCTTGACCTTGACTGGAAGGCAACAAACATTGTTGTGATAAACAAAAGTTTGACTGAATTGAAAACCACAGCAGCTTTATGTTGAAGTCATGCCTGGTCGTTGAACATTATTAATCAATATATGTTAAAATTCATGAATAAAAGCATCCCATAAAATATTCTGGTCGGCCGTGCGCCTTACTTTTCGGGATGCAAGATCGACTTTTTTAAATATTTCTTCTTCTCAAAAACATGTTTTCAAGGAATAATTTATCTAAGCGGAAATAGCGGGTTGCTGAAAAGCAAAGTTAACGTCAACATCATGTCAACAACGACGAATAAAATCTTACGAATGTTACAAATTGAAAGGTCACCAATTATTTACGGGTGGCTTTCTTTTGTTCCGTGAGAGGAATTGCTTAGGCCTGTGACTTTAACTACGTCTAAGAATCTGGAACTGGTAACTCAAGAGAAAGTACATTTGATGCATACAATTTGGCAACAACAATAGAAAAAATCCATTTTAAGAATAAATAACTTCACTTACCGAGGGTATTGGTAATGACAAATCCCAAAAAGGATCAAATGTCAGTGAGCGATATTTACATTCCGTGCAAGTAAGAGTGCTTTTCAGTTGTCCAACGAACAAATCTGAAACAACATTTTAACAAATACAATCAATATGACATTAGACAATTAATATGACATTAGAATTGAAATTGGGAAGACAGAGCTGAAAAAAATTGCATAGAAATCAAGAATCAGATTTTCATGCTAAAATTTTCATTACTGAACTACCATAGATTTAGCACAGCAAACAAAAAAACGATTCTTGCAATTCAAAATTCAAGCAAGAATCAGATTTTCATGCTAAAATTTTCATTACTGAACTACCATAGATTTAGCACAGCAAACAAAAAAACGATTCTTGCAATATAAACAATTCTTGTATATGTCCAAATTTTTGTAGAAAAAGCATAAAGTTATAGCAAGGATCACTGAAGCAAATAATCTGATAGAATATGAGCAAAATGAAGGCACAACTGCGATATCATCAAATTATCAAGGGAAATCATACCACTAATGATACTTTTTTCTCTTCTCTCGTAACGCTCCCATGCAGCCCTTGCTTGCTCTGTGTCACTGAAAACAACAAGTAAAAACTACATTTATCTTTATGCCCAAATAAAAATGTAAGTGTTATGAACTGAAAAACAAATCATAAATGCGAATCTATTTCGTTTATGGATTAGTAAAAAAATAATACTATCGATGCCGATATTGCAATTTCTTCAAGGCAAATGTTTAACATGAACAAATATAAAAAATTCACAGCTTAGATTCCTTTGGTGAAAACAGAAACCATCAAAAGTTCCATACTTTCAAGGACCATGTTGCTTTAACAAACAATCAAAAGGTAACCATTTCCTAGTAAAATTACTCGTAGAAATACTTTTTATTTGCATGAAAGAATTAAAAACCAGGATAATCCTAAAAACGGTAAATTAACTCAATTTTAAGTTTATATATATATACATAGAAGTTGGGCCTATATTATAATACATTCTAAGACCATCGGTTCCAAAGTCCGATACACTTTCCACCAAGCTCAAAGTCCGACACCGAGTCATTGAAAATTCAGGTTATCATCAAGTTAGTGATTATGCACAAACCTGAGACTGCTTGTGTCCGAAGGTTGGTCTTTCAATTTCTCACGACTTATGTTCAGATCATCGTGAAGGCCTTCCAGGAGAAACCTGAGGAATTCTTGTGAATCTTGTTGGCTTTATTGGAAAAATATCATATATATTAAAAGATAAATTAGGTAGCACACAAATCTATATAATATAGGAGTGGATTTTTTGAGAGATTGAAAAAAGTAAGTGATGATGCTTTTCTTGAGAATATGTCAGCCCACTGTTAGAGTACCCCTGCGAATACATTGCTAGCCATGAAAATAATGGGCCTTTGTTAAGGAGCAGGCAAAATTTTTCATTGCAATACAAAGCACATATTTATAGAAGTACTTTGAGATAGTACAAGAAACAGTACAATTCTTTATAGGCCAAGAAATCGTATCATTTTGAAACCAACTTTACCATTAGATTACGGCCAAATTTATAAATTCATAGAATATTAATCACCGTATAAACAACATCACAGAAGCGTCATTTTTGGCAAATCATAGGCCGTATCTTTTGACCAACCCCCTCCCCCATAATAGAGTGTAATATGTTACGAACAAGGCTCTTCAATCAGAGCATTCAATTTTTAAATTCCAGTATAGTAATAAAAGAAACGTGACATATAAAAAAGAAATTAAATTAGGAGTCATAAACTGACAAGATTTTGCCAATTTGGCTTTATTACGAGATATGAGCATGCAAAAACGGATTCTCTAGGTAAACATACTTATAGCCGACAAATCTCGGTGCGTATTTCTGCACTTGCAGCTTCAGTGAATGTGGTGTAATTGTGACGCCAGTGCTGCAGTGTGACCACATTTCGCGCACAACATTCGTGAAAGCTGGAATATATAAATCGGTTCTTTGCATTCATGCAGAGAATAAAAAATCGGAAGGAGAGAAATGAAAAATACAGAAGTTGCATTTAGTTTGAAGACTTTTCAGAACTGTTGTATTGGCAAGTGTATTTCAGAGTTTCTATCAGTAGAAACATGAAGTTAATTTTTTTTAGCTAATTTTAACGAAGAGAATTTAAGAAGTGAATTAAACATAAAAAATTTCTCTAGAACAAAAAAATGCTGAGTGATTTAATAAGGAGCATATTCGTAATGATCGTGTTTATGCGAACAGACAAATAACAACTGTTGATTTTCATATAAATGTAGGCGATGTTCCTTGAATACATAAATCAGGGATATACATAAAATCTAAAAGAGCACTACCTAAATGTGGCTGAACCATTATTGGCACTGAAAACTACTTTAGGCCTATAGAGCAGGATAGATGAATCTATCCGAAAGTATCTATTGTGAAATAAAAACACGCGGACGAGATGTAAGAATAGGCCCCGGTGTCAAGAGGCTGGTTGACGCCTGAACATAACATAACGTTGGTGTTATCATGGTGCTATGACAATCGAACAACAACATCAGTGCCGTTTCTTAATGATATTCAGAGAGGTGAGGTTAACTTGGCTAGGATGGCTACAGTATGAGAGGACATACCTAAAAAGCAGCATTCCATAACAGCATTTATTAAGGGATAGGGACGGATTAGAAGCAACTTACTAAGGGAGTGCCTCGACATTTCTGGCTAAGATTATAGTTACCTTTGGCGAGTCCTCCTTTGTTTTGAGGTGTGGCCTCGAGCAATTTATTAATCTTGGCTTCATTGCAAAACATTGCTCGAAGTTTCCTCAAGTTTCGTAGGCATTGCAGGATCGAATTCATAAAACACTGCAAAAATTGGCGATAATACGATTATAAAAGCCAACATAAGTGATTGTTGGAAAAAAAATTTCTTTGAAAAAAAATTCTTTGGAACAAGTTGATAGTAAATGATATTAAAATTGCTGTCCTTGTGGCGTTTTTCAATGGAAAACCAGGCGTTCAGGCACTGTGTCCCGACGCATTTCGATGGCCAATTAAATTCCTATTTGTTGGACTATGAAATAGATCTATTGCTACTTATCCAGTCAGCAAGGAAAAAGGATAATTCTCAGTGTTCTCTCGATCAAAAATGCTCCTCACAGCCTATTGCTAGATTTAGCTCATTTCTTTGTAAATAGCTATGTAGCGCCAACTTTAAATAAATTGATGATGATTATTATTATTATTATTATTATTATTATTATTATTGCTAACTCTTAAATGTTGACTGGCGGGACATATATCTTTAACACGAGACAATATTGCAAGAGATTATATTCATCAGAAGATCCCCACAGCATAAGTTGCATTTACGGTAAAAATTATTTGAGTAATAAAATGATATTCTAGCAGCAAAGATATTATAGCAGATATCGGCAAAAGCAAGTATCAATGATAAAAGCAACATACTGTATTGCCAAGATTTCTGAGTCCAACAAGCCCTTTCCCATAGGCGTCTGTAGCAACCTTGCGTCCTTGTGATTCCACCTAAGATAATAGGATAATAAGATAATTCCACCTAAAATAGCTCTGTATCAGAGCGGCAAAGCTAATGAATTTATACGCGAATTTCGAACACAAAATTTCGAGTTTCTTACAAACAATGATACTTTTCTAACAAAAGAAAAGAATTTATTGCACATGGTTTAAGATTTAAATTATAGTTTAAGATTTTATTACAATATGAGTTTACTTAGCAGTATTAGATTTAGAGGTTGAAGAAAGTCAAATTCAATGCATAATATAAGATCTTATGAAATATTGACAAATAGATAAGATCTTGAGCAGCAGAATAATTTGTGCTGCACTTGACAGACAGTCTTTTGAAACAAATCTTTTCTTGGCAAATACAATTTCACATGGTTAATTTCACAAAAGAAAACTCTTTGATAAGCAAAGAGACAAAGGATGTTTCTGTAAGTCCTTGAATAAGCTCCCCCTTTAAATAAGTCCCCCTCAAAAATTAGTCCCTATCTCAAAGTAATTTCTGTGAAGTAAGCCCCCACCTTTGAATAAGTCCTCACGAGATGCTGTGCAGCTCTGACAGCAATAGGTTATTTCAACATGTCTGCCTTTCGAAGCATACTGACCAGCCTCCAATAGTGGGAAAAAATTTACCCTGGTAATATATTTTGCTGCTGCTAAATAAGCCCCTACCCTTGAAAAATCACCCCCTCCAATAAGCTTCTGCCCCAAAATTTTTTTTTGCAAAATAAGCCCCTGGGGACAGTTAAATTTTAATGTTTCATGACAGTCAAATTATTTTATGATTTTTTTCTATTTTGGGTGTACATATTTAATGGTAGCTTGAATTAATAATGCTGCCACCAGAAACCGCATATTCACTTATCTCTTGAATGAAGCCATGTAAGGTGGCCTGTTGGAGAGTGATTCTTCAAAACTACTTGCTATAAATACAAAAGACAACAACCATCTGAAAGAGGTGTATACAGTTTGGGTTAACAGGATATTGTTATGGTTAAATGGAGATGAATTATTTAGGCCAGTCTATTATTCTAGCATGCATATAATATTTCGAACTAACCCTTTACACAATTTCCTCTTATTTTCACTTTTTCTATTGTCAAAGTCAAATAAAAAATGGGAGGAGATATTAAGTTGGGGGCTACTCAAAAGATAAGGATATTTAAGTACCAACCTCTATTAACTATGGATTACTTTTTCTCTTACATCAATAAAACTAGAGATTTGCTTTCTTTTTACCTGATCTCTTGACAATTTTGGAGATGAATTTCCTGAACTACTGCCAGTGCTGCTGTTAGATTCATAGGCAGAATCAGAGGATCTTCTCTGCAAAGACTGTTCTTGGCTATTGATTCTGTTTCTTCCTAGACTGTCTTTTCTGGGGATGCTGCTGCTACTTTTTCCACCATTGTCAATGCGAGCCTCTGGTTTTGATTGAATCGAGCTCTTTGGTAGTAGATTTTTCAATGGGTTAAAGATGTTATCTTTGTATATTGATGAAGTAGAATATTGGTCTGATAATGATTTTCTATTTTTTACTGAATTTTCTGCATTTTTTGATGCTTCATCAGTGCTCATTTTGCTAAGTCTATCAAGCAAAGCCCTCTGATCACTTTCAGTCTGTCGTCTGGCAGTATTTATATTATCAAAGGAAGGTGACCTTGATATTTTAAATGCTTTTCTTGCTTTTTTCATGTCTAAATCAACTGAAATCTTGTCTGGGTTTAACTTTATAGATTCCCTTTTCTCAACATTCCTTATGTCATCCAATGATCTTGACTTCAACCGGCTAAGACTTCTATGCTCCTCTGGACTTGATACCTCTGTCCTTGGTACATTGTGTGACCCACCTTTAGCCAGTAAGTGGTTGCCTTTAACTGGTCCTTTTGCCTGTGATGGTGTCACATCTGTCTTTTTCCTTCCTTTCCTCAAACCGCTACTTGGCAGTAACGGTCCTGGTCCTTTTGGTAATGGTCTTCCTTGGGTTGGTGACTGTCGTCCAAGAATATTGGAAAGGCTTCTTCTTTTAAACTTGTTAGTATCTTTTGAACTTTCATAATTGCTTGAAGCTCCACTTCCCATGCTCTTGGGAGTTGTCCCATATTCTGAATTTGAATTATGATTTTGATCTTGTGTGTAGCTCAAGTTGCTACCCATTAAATATGACGATGAATAAGAATATATTCCATGCTTAAAAACCCTTGAAGACATAGTCTACATCAATGTATTTCATCTTCCATTTCAATTACATGCCAGATTGTCAACAATCAACCCTTCAACACAACGTTTCAGCAATAGTTTAGCTTACAGAGACAGAGGTGATGAGATAGGCTTTTTATATTCGAATACTTTGTCGATTTGAAATATGGAGCCAACAGCATACACAGTTGAACTGCTACAACTAGAATAAAAAATTGAAATGACTGTTTTTGTGATAGAAATCATCTTAATCTAACTTTTTTTTGACTGCCTTCTACAAGAAGATTCTGTTGGATAGACTGAAAGAGGAAAGCTGACAAGCCAGAAGGTCAGCTAGTATGTTGCACAATTTTGAAACTTGTTTTAGCAATTGGTTATGTGCAATCTGCTATGCATTTTAAGATTAAGTTAAGCATATTAAGTTTAAGTTAAACCTAGCAGATTAAGTTAAATCTTAAAACCTTCTAGAAATTCCCAAAAAACAATTAATTAAATACATAAACAAAGATTACCAATTTCAAATAAAAACTTGAATTGGTGCAATTAGTTATAGATATTTGTAGTAAAATTAAATTCAAGTTAAAATAGGAATATTTTAGATTTTAAATATTGAATTGTAATTAGGATAATTTGTTTTTTATAAGAATTTCTGTACGTATTTAAAGTGGAGGGCCCCTTGAAAATCAGCATTGCTGAAGGGCTACCCTCCTTAAACATTTGAAATGAAATGAAATGAAATGCAGAGGTGTTATTAGATTAATTGCATTGAGGCAAAGTTACAAGAAAAGGCTGCTAAAATACTTAGTTTCCTTGTGTTTGGAAATTAAGTTCAGTTTTATGAAATCTAGAGATGTTTCAATTAATACGAAATTGACATCCTGCAGCCTTTGCAACACGAAATGAACTGGGAAAGCAATTTCCTCAACAAACTTTACTGTCTGCAAATTTCGTTATCACTCGTTTATCTACATGCCATCGATTAACCTAAATAGGCCAATGTGTATTGAAGAGGCAGTAGTAATAATAATAGGTCGGATTTATTTGGTTTGGCTCGCGTTCCCTCGGTCGTCTCTCACGAACCTCGAGAAAAACTTAGTGAACCTCGAAAAAAAACTTAAAAATAAGCATGACAAATTTTCCATTATCAGGATTACACATAATTCCTAATCAAGGCTGTAAGCACTTTCAAATTAAAACAGAATTAATCTTTAACATTAATCCAATCAAAGATAGTAACAGGCCTAGCCGTTAGTGTTGTGATAGTCTCACGGGCTGCAGCCATCCGAACAACGCTCTCGGTCGTCTCTCGCGATATTTCACGGTATTCTGTAAATAGAGCTTAGTTTCTGCAATTTTAGCCAAAATAGTTTCTCACCTTCAATGATCCGTTGAATCATTTGAACGGCGACCAGATGCCGACGGCCAAGTACGAGACGCCATGTTTATGAGTTCCAGGTCTCCCTGCGCAACCGGTCTCAATTCAACATCCAATTTGCGGTCAAATCAGGTGGTCTCGAGTTGAGGCCCTAGAAAAGGGGTGGAAAATGTGGTGCCCGCGGGGCTATATGAACCTGCCTGTAGGTTCAACCCAGCTGGCTGGATTAAACTGAAATAAAGGGAAGCATAAAAAAATTAACTAGAAATTGTTAATGAACTACTATAGAGTTCTTTAGTGTGACGTCATAACATACCTAATTTTAAGGAAATTTTATCACTGCACATTTTACAAGAAATCAAGGGTGGCTGTAGGAAATAAGAAGTAATTTGCGGAAGCTCCTGAGATTTTTCCATTTCTGAGGCTTTAGCGTTACTAGTAAACAGGGATACCATAAAAGAAAAGTCAAGTAAACTGAGCTGTTGCGTTTCACAGTGCATTCCGTGATCTGGTAACAGTGTCTCATTATAGATACGCAAATCAACGCAAATATAGCCTATAGACTTTCACAAACAAACGTATATACTAGGTTGAGGTCAACTTTTGCATTCAAGCAGTAATAATTTTTTTGAACAATAACGCAACGCTGTTTAATGTTAAACAAATTTAACGTCTTCAAAACTTTCTCCTAAACTCTTTCTCCTTAACCTTTCCGTCTTCTTTATCGTCGTTTGCAAAAATTTCCTGCTTTTGTGCTTTCTCTTGCCCGACGATCTTTTTCCTCCATCCATGTCAATGCTGCAGGCCTAGTTGTTGTCAAAGCCACATAGTTGTGGCATATTCATATGTATGTAAAGGTAATCGCTGACGGTTTGGCGCTTGAAAGATGATCTTCATGTTGATTTGATCTTGTTATAAAGAGAAATGACCCGCTCACAATCAGCTGACTGGGGTTTGCATGCAAGAATTGGTCAAGGACGACACAGACATCTGAATACTCGTCTCTTGCTCCTTGTAGCATGTTTTGCAGCATGCTGAAGGGATCGGCCTTTTGCATTTCGGCACAATCTTGCAGATCCTGATACTGAATGGCTACATTTGCCAAATCCAAGTCAGGAGCAATAGAGCGGTGAACTTCTTTATTTCATCTTCTGTGGTCATGATCTTAACAAACGGGGTAAATGATTTGGAAGCATTTCTGTCCACTTGAAGTCGCTTGTCTACGAATATGTTGATTGCTATCACTGATTCGTTCCAAATAGCACTAAACTTTCTGCGATCTGTTAGAAACAGATTGGCATCTGGTCGGCGCCTTTCCTTCCCCCAAAGCTTGATCCGGCAAAACTTATTGACTTCTTCATCATACCTTTCTTTGAATTCATTTTCCGAACCTCCCAGCAAGGATCTAGTACTCAGCTTGTTCACCCTTTCGCGAAACTTCTCTGCCTCTGGCTCAATGTCCACAATTGTTAGTGAGTCGCTTTGAAGCTTCTTTTGGAACACTTTGATTAAGAAAAGCAGGTCTGCAATAAAAAAACACATCAAAAGAAGGTTGTCCTTGTTGGTAAGAAGCTTCAGAAACTTTTTGCCTTCAGCATCGCATTGCTCTACGTTGAACTTTATGAGTGCTTGCCACGAGCACAGAATAGCATCAAGAAGAGCAGCTGTAAATTCTGCCCATCTGACCTCAAATTACTTTGGGAAACGACGCACTGTTAGCCCTTCCACTTTTGCAACTTTTTCCAGCTCACTGGTTCGTTTTGCTGAAAAGTGAAAATAGATAGAAATTGCTGCTAATTTCTTAACCAAGTGATCAATTTCTGGGACACTCTTACATAAGTCTTTGTATGCATTTGCAGTTGAATGCACTGCACAAACAGACTTAGGAGAGTCGATGTCTAATTTCCTTTGGTCGTCATCCAGGAGCTTCCAGAGACCACGATGCTCTCCAACATTCTTATTTTCCCCGTCAGTTGAAAGATGAGTTATCACTTTCATTACTTCGTCGAAGCCAACAGTATCCTCTGCTCTCAATTTCAATGCTGCGTGATGCCCAGAGGCACCAGGATCAGTCACGTGTCCAATGCCAATAAACCTGAGATCTGGTTTCCCATTTTCATCGACTACATTAAGTAGCATGTATTGATGATACTTCTGCGTCTTATCCATGGACGCATCAAAGCGAAGAGATGCAGCAATGCAGGAATGATTTTCTTTTTTGAACTTTGGCAGGTCAGAACTGACTATAGTGCGCAAAAGTTCTTGTACAACTGGAGGTCGAATATACTGCAGATCAAAGTCAGAAGGCGTGTATGGTTGGAAAGGTTGATTGTAGTTGAATTCATGAGCAAGTTTTGCGACAACTACTCTTGATGGCCAAGAAATGCCGATGATGTCAAACATTTCGCGTCATTGTACTCATGGATTATTAGTGACCCTATCTTGTTGGCCAATTTCTGGCGCTGTGAACTCTTAATCATCTTAATCAAGGGCACAGTTTGAGATTTCTCGACAGATGAAAGTTTCTTCAAGCGCTCGTCTTCGAAGCATTCTTTATGTGCTTCGCTTTGTAGATGCTCTTGAATTGTGCGAGTTCTTGCTTCTGTGCCCTCGGGAAGACAAATTAGTGGCACTCTACCCCTGTAGCAAAAACGCTTCAGTATGGTGGGGTACGGTAGGCATACAGCACACAGCACACGCTTTCTTTTAGCTTTTGGTCCTGGCACACGCTGGATACATTTGTCACTGATTTGTGTATCTACCTCTGAATGGGTCAATGCTTTTGGCTCGGCATCAACTTCGTTTCTCTGAACGGAAGAGCAAGGGCTGACAGAATCATCGCACGTGTTGCGGCTAGAGCTTGTTTCCTCGTCCTCGCTAACTTCTTTTTCTGTCTTTTCATGTTCCTTCGATGTCTTTTTTCCAGTCGTTGATCAATTAAAAAATCTATCAATCGTACCTTACTTCTTGGACGAGATTGTTCAGTAGTTTGAAGTCAATTTTGGTTTTGAAAACGTTCTTATTAAGATGTTTATACCAACGTTAAGTTAACTATAAATATTCCATCTTGTTTTTACGCCTCCTTCCTGTTTTTTGGGAAATATAGACACTTGAATAGGTTTTGGAACTCAATCAAGACTCTTCTAAAACAATCTTGATGATCTTTTTGACATTTTGAAATTCTGTTTGATTCAGAATTCTGAAAGTTCGAAAATTCTAAAAATTCTGAAATGCATTAGAGTTGGTCAAGCAATTAAACTTTGCAAATTGCAATATGTATGTACAGAAAAAGCCATAACCTTTTTCCAAGTATGACAAAAATGACAAAGCACCTTTTTTATCACTGCACATTTCATGATTTATCACTGCACAAATTGGTTATCACTGCACACTAAAATTAGGTATGCGTCATAAAAATCTATTATTAAAAATGATGAGTTTCGACCAAATACCCCAAAAGGTGCCGCGATAGCTGAGTCGTTAAGGCGCTCGACTGCCAAGTCAGCGCTACGGGTTCGATCCCGGCTCGCGGACAGCCCTCGGTCACTCAGCTGAAAATGAGTACCTTGTTGAAACCTACTAGGGAGGTAAAAAGCGGCGTTGAAGGGAACTGGTCGCCCTATCACACAATCTCGTGGCTCAGAATGATGCGCCCCCAACAGTGCATTCCCCACCGCTCGATGTAAAATACGGGACTAACCTTCACCTTCAACCCCAAAAGAACAAGTCTTGATCCATAAGATGAATACGCAAAGTCAGTTGAATATGTTGAAAGCGGGTTGGATATGGCCAATAAAAAATTTGAAGCTTGCGAACGTACTTCTGTTGTTTTGGCTCTGTTCTGTCATAAAGTTATGAAGAGACATAACCTGGATACCAGTGCCACATAAATTGTATGTATGTATGTATGTATCATATATTTAATGTACATAACAGGTCTTAGTAAAATACCTGTTTTCAGCCTGGTGTAAAAAAGGTAAAAGGCTAAATGAGTATTTAAAAAATTAAAATATGTAGTGCAAGTATAAGAATTTCAATGCAAATGAAGAAAATATTTACAATTACAAAGTCCATCCATAGTTAAAACTGTCCATTTTAATCTTGTCCATTAAAAAGTTTTTACATGCCATCTTAAAAATCTCTAAAGATGGGGAGTCCTTCAGTGCACATGGCAATGAGTTCCATGTTTTGACACCGTAATAGGCAAAAGTCTTATTAAAATTATTACTGGCCCCCCTTTTAATGTACATGGCATCATTTGATACTGATCTGGTCCTGTGGGTGTACCTTAGAAGTGCTCACAAACATCTCTTGTAGATACTGAGGGCACAATTCATGCTTGATTTTGTACATCTACACGGCAGTTTGTAGTTCAATGATCTGATGAAATGGCCGTCTGCTGTGAGTCTGATTATTGCAAGGCAGTACTGTGCGTGCACAACGCTTTTGTAGTTTCACGAGCAAATCCATTTGACGCTTATCAAGATTGTGTAATAATGGTGAGCAGTACTCAAGATGGCTCATTATAATTGAGTTTGCAATTAGCTTCATACTGTCAGTTTGAACGTATGGTTTTATGCGTCACAATATTGAAATGCCATAATTGAGCTTTTTGCTTAAGTCTTTGATATGCAGGTCGTAAGATGAATGATCATCAAGAACGAAGCCTAAGCATTTGTAGCTATGAGCATATTCGATGTTGCTTTGTGCCAGGGTCAAAGATTCTCTCTCCTCGAACTGAGATGCTTGGCTGCGCCTACTGAAGATGATAGCTTTTGTTTTCTCAGGGTGAGGAACTAATCTGTTATTGACTGCGTAGTCATACATCTAGATTACTTTGCATATCAGTGGAGACAGATCTGTGAGAGGTCCCATGTGAAAGAACAGTTGTATTTGAGATTTGCTAGCAAATCATTGAGATATATAAGAAACAACAATGGTCCCAAAATACATCCTTGAGGAACTCCAGAGTAAATGGTAGCTGCATGAGACAAAGTATCATTGTAGTCCTGCTTTCGACACAAGAGATAGAACAACAGCCATCGGGACATTTTTTCACTTGGGTCGAGCCTCGCGAATTTCTTCAGCATGATATCATGGTTAACTGTGTCAAACGCTTTGCGGAGGTCCAAAAACAATCCTCCAGTTAGCTTAATTATCCATATCTTTGTAAACCTTCTCAATAAGATGAACGAGTGCTGTGCAAGTGGAGTGTCGATGTCTAAAGCCTGTCTGGAGTATGTGAAGTAGGTTTTCTTCGATTAGGAAAGCGTATATATGGTTGAATGCGACTCGCTCTATTATTTTGCTGAGACAATTCAATACGGAAATTGGTCGACAATTATCAACATCAGATGGATCTCCAGACTTGAACACTGGCATTGCTTAAGCAGACTTCCAAGATAATGGGAACACTCCAGAGTCAAAGGATGCATCTATTAGCTTAGTTAATGCATTTGCGAAGAATTCAGATTTTCCGAGTATCTTAACAAGCTTCATTGAGATGTCATCAAGTCCAGTATCTTTAACATTTCTTAATTTCTTGATAACTCCAGAATCCATAAGGTGACTAACAGCTAGTATATCGAGCATGCACTCTGTCAGATTTTCTTTGGCCTCACAGTTTGGTGGTGGTGGCAAACCTGAAGTCAATTTTGTTGCAACATTGTTGAAAAAGTTGTTGAAATAATTAGCTTTGTCAAGAGATGTTTTGTAACTTTTGCCTTCATGATGAATAACGTCAGGAACTTTTTATTTCTTTGATGGCAGCAACTTTTTAAAAGCAGTGAAATATTCACATTTGGACTTTCTTATTGAAGCTTTTACCTCATTTCTACCTCGAGTATATTGGCTTTTAGCCAGATCTGACCTCTCTCGAATGAATACACGGTGAGGATATTCTTTCTTATGGATAAGCTGAATGACGTTACGTTACTATCCATCGGTAAGAGTCTCGTCGGATGCGCCTTTGTTTTTTTGGAGCATGACAGTTTATCAACTGATACAAAAGATGGTACATTGTATCAACTTTGTCGTCAATACTTTCAAAAACATCAATGAGCTGCCATTGTGTAGCATCCACATCATCAAGGAAGTTATTTTCATTAAAGGGCTTGTAATGCCTATATTCAATAGAAAGGTGGTCTTTTTTTGCATCTGTTGAATTTCAAGTTGATCTTAAGCCAAAAATCCCAAAATGGTCACTTATGCCTAGCTGGATGACACCAGATTGGCTCTGAGACATTGATATGATCAATGAGTGTGCTCGTACTTTCAGTAACCCTTGTGGGCTTACCAATCAACTGATGCAAATAAAATGATTGACAGATGTCATTCATTGACCTCGAAATATTATTTACTTCCAATGAATATATATGGAAGTCCCCAGTAACTACTAGATCGTCAACATCATCTGATTTGTCAATAACTGCTTCAAGGAAGCTAGATGGAAAGGGCTCCATTTAGAAATAATTGACTTGATGTGACTAGTAAAGGACAATTTAGAGTCAAGTATGATTCCAAGGTGCTTTTGTTCCTGGACGTTCTTTACAGAGCCATCATTAAAAAATATGGGTGGGTGATTCATTGAAATTCTCTTTTTAGAAAAGGTCACTTCGACTGCTTGCTTGGTGGGGTCAGGGTTAAAGGACATTCGCCAATTGTGCGCCCAAAGCTCAATAAGATTCAGATCATGGTTTATATCGAGGGCAGCTGTATGTGGATCCTGAACAACTGTGAAGATCGATGTGTCGTCGGCAAATAATTTCACATTACACCTTAAACCATCTGTCAAGTCATTAATATAAATGAGAAACAGAAGAGGACCCAGGATAGAACCCTGAGGAACACCAGCTTAGACGGTACCCCATGTAGATGTCTTACCATTCAAAACTGTACGCTGTTTTCTATCATTGACAAAGCTTTGTATTAAAATCATTAGTTGCTGACACGATAAGACTGACACGCACCTGATGCTCTTTGTTTGCCTTCTCGATAAAACATTGTAGCTTTCGAAAAGACGCTGATGTACTTGTCTTGGTGGTTGTATGATTATGAGTTAAAAAGTTTCCAAGAAAATGATTCTTGAAGATTGACCATGAGAATTACTTTGATATTGGAAAGTCGTAGCTTACCTGGGTAAAGAGATTTTCAAAAATTTACAGGCTATTTATGCAGCTACTTGCTATGCAATAACATCTACAATTTTTCTAGTAAGGAGAGTAAACTTTTTCTGGAAAGATAGAATTAAAGAAAAGATAAAGAAGTATTCTGGAAAAGTGTTGAAATGAGGGAGTTGGAATGAGGCAGACAAGATACTCTCGTGAATGCAACCAATTTTGCGTAAGTCATCAGACGCTATAAAAAGCAATGAAGACCAAGTAATCAGAAGCTCTACAATCAGATCCAGAATCACTGAGACATGCATTTACTACAGTCTTTATTACAAAATGAGGACTATCAGAGAAATCGCCTTTGAAAGTTTTGGTTAGAGTTTCGATGAAGAGAATGAGCTGGTAATACCAGTGTGGTATACAGGCAAAAATTTTCGATAAAACAAGTTTGGACGACTTGACGAGAATCTAGTCGACCGTTACGTTAAATCTAAAAAAGCTGTGAAGATCTAAAGAAAATATTAGAGTCAGTCCTCCAGCTTTTTAAAACAATTGATTCTCATCTTTTGCTGGGCTGCAGACACAGACATCCATTGCCCAACAGCAGCAAGATCTGCAGTGCTCTACCGATAAAGTTGAAGCGGATGCCATAACCAATGAGGACCAGGTCATGGGAAATAACGGTGATCAGCTTGAGGCAGATCAAGATGAGTTGAACTTAAACTTTTTTTTGAGAGCTAAATCGAAGAAGACAGTGATGACGAAGAATGGATTCCATATTTGTTCCTATCCAACCAAATTTCCTTTTGACTTGTTATTATTCACTGGTTAAAAATCTGTAGGTTTGCATTCCCATGATATCCAAGTACCCATAAATGATGATGACGTCATAAAATGATGATAACTTCATGTGAAAACGTTTAGAAACACCGAATATATTCTTTTTGAATACGGAACTTTATTGACAGTTATAGTTGCGAGAAAATTTAAGGCGGTGCAAAGTAAATTTTCTCTAAAAATGATGACGTCATCAACATTTTGACTTTCTTCCAATTTATTTTTTACTCCATCTTGGAATCGAAATCAGCACAGTTAATTTAGTGGAAAAATGCAGTAAAAGTTTAGATCAAGTCTTTGTTTTTTTAAAGCAATTTTATTATTCTTTATGACGTCATCAAAAACAAGTAACTTTCAGTGATAATTTTTGGTCCATCTTGGATTTGAAAACTTAGTGCTTTAGTTAAAATGTGAAGAAAAACTTGAGGCTAAGCAGTTGGTTAGTTTTTTCTACAAAATTTCCTGTCTATTCCTCATGGTAGGTTTCAGCTTATTCATACTTTCTTCAAATTTCGTAATTCACAAGTCTTAACTGGATATATGATTTACAAAGCATGTAAAATCGAAGTGAAATTTGATTCTGTCTTTACATCCAATGTCATGAAAGGGTCTATATATGGAGTCAAGAATGACATCAGACACAACCTTATTATTGGGCCTATAGATGGAGTCAAGAATAACACAACCTTGTTATTTACTTGAAAGAGTTTGCTTGGGCAATTCTGATTACATGAAAACTAGCTTAGTTGCTTTCGTTTTGGTATGACAACCATTCTAAATTATACAAAAACCTTTTTACAGTCTACATTCTACTCCCTGTTTATACAAACACCTATCGCACTTTGTTCGATCCCATGGTAGCATGCTTTCCCAACGACGTAATTCGATATAAAACCTATCTTTTTTGTGAACTGCTCTCACTTCCTTGTGAAAAAGACATAAGACGCAAGAACCCACGGCACGAATATAAAAGTGGGAGCCAAGGCTAGCAAAAGATGGGGCTAAGGCTTCTTCCCCTTTTACTTCAGCTTTAAAACTATTTGCTTTGCAAAAAAGTAGGAGGGCATGGCAACCCCGGCCCCCCGGTGGCGTGGCCCTGGGGTTTTATTTCCCTAGCATGGTTAAAGGAGTAAAATATGCCCTCCTTTAACGTGGTACGTGGTAAATCTTGCATTACCTGGGTACGTCAATAGAAAGCAAACCACTTGCTTTTGAATTACACGAAATAACACGTTGAAGCTCGCACATTCGAGTCGACATATCTGTGCGTATTGCGCTCTGAAACCTTGCTGAGAAGCTCAGGAACAATTGGAAACGCCTCACAGCATAAAGCCTGAACATTGCAGTGAAATGTTGAGAGCGTCTTAATGGGGCTTGATACAACATAATGCGAGCTTTATATATATTACTTTGGAAAGTGGATTAATATTGTTAGCTTTTTCAAAAGCATTTAGCAATTTTGCAGAATATCTATAAGTTATAACGAATTTTTATTACTTGCAATATGATTTTTGTGCATGTGCATGTCTTGTGCATGGCTTAAAGGCAGTCGGCAGATAATAAGCGGCTGATGCCTCATCTGTCAATCAAAACTGGCCAATCACAAAGCGTTGTACCACTCACATTTATTGATTGGCCAGTAGTTGGTTTACAGATGGCTCGAGCCTCTAAAATATCTGTCGATTGCATTTAATCATATTTGCAATAATTAATCATTCTAAGCTGCTTCTCTTAATGTCGTTTATAGTTGATATAAGTAGTTTCCTGAATAGTTCTGAATACGAGCGACCTTTTGAAACGAGGCTTGTTGAATGATATGCACAGCATTAAATTTTGTCTCTCGCCATCTCTCGTTTATTGACTCGCAAAGTCAGTCTGCCGCAAAAATGCAAGTTAATGTCAAAGCTTGGCACAGTATTTACGAATTTGAAGATACAGTTTTTCTCTGAATGTATCAATGCCAATCATCAAATTTATTGATTGCTTTATTTTCAAGGGTAAAAGCATACAAAACTACATCGTATTGACAAGGCTGAATGATTGATGCCGAGTATCACTCGACATTGTCTACCGTTGTCTATAAATGCGTGTAGGCACTATTATAAAAAGATAGATTCTCTGGAATATCATTGTCTCCATTTTCCAAAACAGTGTTGTTTACATCACCGTTTCCATTGGGCATACTGTTAACAGCCTCGGTTGTGCTTTCCGGACCCTCGATTCCAAATTCCATTTCAACTTCGACAGTGTCATACTTTCCTGATTCCTTCATTGCCAGAACATCGACTCCGTCTGGTCTATACCCTGAATTCAGTACACCGAAATTGTTGTCAGGCAGGTATATTCCACGTCTTGTTGGCATGCTTCTTATCGAGGGTGGTTGAGAAAGGCTGTTGTTTAAAGGAACGATAAACTCTTTCTCTTCTCTCCTAAACATCAAGAGAACTTAAATATTATTTGAACAAAAATATGGCTTGACAGTAAACTTATAGAAATACACTTTAAGTGATATTCCTAGAACTTAGGCACAACAGGAACTAGAAATATGAACATCCTTGAGATATTAACGATTTTTATTATGTGATCTCCATCAATGTGTACTAGTTAAGTTTAGAGTTATTTTTCATTCTCAAAAAGTTGATTGCAAGATTCTCAAGCAATTTATTATATCGATCTGAATAAAAGTTTATTTAGGTAAAAAATTAACGAAATTTTTTAGAACCAAACAAAAAAATTGTTTCAATATTACTTCTATATTTCTCAAAGCTTTAATCAATTCAGCAAAGCAATTTGAATGAAAAGCTGCAATGGGCGACTATAGCTGTCGCTTATGAAGGTTCTTCTCTCTTCATCAAACATTGAGAGCCACTAAATTTGCTTAGCTTTGTTTTGTATCAACTAAAAAGCGTTGAGACGAAGAAAAGGCACAAACCTGCATCCTCTGGAATTTGCCAACCAAACAAGTAGGATTATGCAGAAGACAGCAAGAACTGGGATCAACACATACAGCACAACGGTCCATGTTTCTTTTGGAGAGACGATAAAGATGAAGTAACAGATATGTTGTAGAATAAGGCAAGCGACTGCCCTTTTCTTTTCATCAAAATGTTAATTGCTTGGTTTGAAAAAATATGAGCAGGAGTGTTACATATGACTTAAGTATGATTAAGTATGATGTCCTAGGTTTTTTCTTTCTTTGATTTCCCGATCATTCTGACACGTAATGTTGACCAAATCTAGTTGATGTATGAGACTGTGTGCACATAATTAACATGAATTATTATATTAAGCACTACGCTGCACCACCAATCTTGAAGTATCGTCAAATACGCTTATTCTCCTTTATGTTGATTCAAGTGATTCAAGTGAATCCTGTCTTCTTTAAAACAGAGACTCGGTGCCAGTGGCGGAGCCAGGGCTGTAGTAGTGGGGGGTCTTGGGCGTAGCCCCCAGAATTTTTTGGGCCACGCCCTTAAAACACTCGCAAATGCGGGGAAACGCCCTTTCTGCAAAATTTCCCCCCATTATTTGACTCATTTTAGCTGCGGTAAATAGCAAAGTATTTTACAATTGTTATTGACACAAGCATACAGTATACTACACCCCCCCAATGAGTTTTGCATCATTTTTGGACAAATCTCGAGGACCATATTTTAGAAAAGTGGGGGGGTCCGGACCCCCCTATTCCCCCCCTTGGGTACGCCACTGCTCGGTGCTATACTTTATAGTTAACATCCATCGCAGTATCTGTTTACATTTAACAAAATACCCCATATAGCCTTAATTTGAATGACAGGCAGACACCAGGCAGGTCGTGAAGACCCCAAAAACGAAACACTTACCATCTTGCTGACTTTGTTGAGTTTCTCGTCTAGCAAATGCTAAAATAGATTAATGAATGGTCAGATGTTACAAGAAGTTGTGATGCCAGCCACTAGGCTCAGAGAGGGGGGGGGTTTGGGAAACACAATTTTTAGACCATGCCGTTTTTACCGCCAGAAAACTCTCTTACCAACAAGGAACACAAATTTTACCTTAAGGGAACGCCCATTGCTAATTTTCAATTACCTAAAGACAGTTTAAAAATCAAGTGTTATCCTTCCCCCAACATATTCTGATGCGAAATGCAAAATTTACCCTGCTGAGAACTGGCGGACGTGCCTCAAATTGCCCTTGGTTGTTCCGCTATTGGGTATATGCCTTATTGTAAAGTTACATGCATTTTAAGGTCCTTATGTCCTGGGTCTGAGCTAAGTCAGGCATTGTCATGTCTATAAAAAAGTATCACTTCTTGCAAAATTATTGCTTAAGCTTTTTTCTACTCTTTTAGGATCATCCATTTCCAATTATATGGCTAGGAAATAAATGTCAAGATTCTGTTTTTCTCTCAAGACATTTTTCAACAATAACTAAAAAGATTTAACATACGTGTTGTTGATGCTGTTGCATTTGGCGTCGTCACACAAGATCCATTGCATGGCTCAGTTTCCGACAAGGGTGGAGGACAGCCTGGAAAGTTGGGCTTGCATGTTCGTGCTCTTGTTTGATAACCAGCGCCACACGAGACGTTGCAAGATCCCCATCGAGACCAGGGCTCGTAACGATCAGCTGAAGTTCAAAGATAAATCAGTGTCTTTGTTTTGGATGTGCACCATAAGAACATATTGAGATTTCCAAAGAATAATTTAGTCAATGTTGGTTTGTTATTAAAGTTGCGTATTATTAACGGTGATTTATTGAATTCAAATCGTTAGAATCACAATTATACTTTCACAGCATTTATCTTTGTTAAAGGGATTTAAAACAATAAAATTTTTCGGAGTTGTTTTAGGGTGCAAAATATTGAAAAGCATGATCATAGAAATATCTTCTGACTTCTTACCAACTAAAACTAAATTGTAAGTTTCAACCACATTTGCTAGCTTGTTTTTGGCATGACAGTGAAAACTCTGGTCGTTCTTCTGTAAAACCGGCACAAGTAAAGTGGCTCCACTTGATATTTTGGCTGATTCATTGTTTTTGGTCCAAAAAAGTTCAGGAGCCGGGATGCCATATCCTACGCACTCGCAGTTCAGCTGCTCTTTCCACGTCTGTCGGCAGGTCATGCTAGTGATCCTGGCTGGAACTGAATTTTCAGTACAAGGTTAGTCATGTTCAGGGATGTGCCGATTGGGGGGCGTGGGGTAGGTGTCATGCCCCCTATGTCTTGAAAACTCCAAGAAAGTTGTTAATGCAGCAAGGATCTTAGAATTAATTAGAAAGTTTGACCAAATTTCAACTCGTAATTCATTTATTTTGTTGGTCATGGTACGCAACTTTCTTTTTTTAATATTGCAAATAACTTGCCATAAGTAGCAAGCAAGCGGCTATAAGATGCAATGCAGGACCGACAAAACTGGGGGGGGAGAAGGCCATGGTCCCCTACGTTTCTGTAGAGCAAAATAAAAAGTTTTTGGCGAGAGTGGGAAGAAGTGTAGCCCGCCTTTCTGTAAGTAACTGTGCCTGGTATTCCCTTAAATATGTCCTTACTTTTAGCTTGGTTACTTTGTCCTAACCATAGAAGACATATATAAAATTGAATATTGGAATTTGATCGAAGAAATCGGTCATTTTCTAAGTTGTACAACGAGCAACAGCTTGGCTTAGAAAATAGATCGAGAAGAAGATCCAAAATAACTTGGTGTCAGCACGAAGTGATGAAGTTTTGCTGAAACATGGCCCACAAGGTCTTGTTAACATTGCAAAAAAAAGATAAAAGGAAAAAACTGCCAGGAAGATAATTTTCTATAATTTGAAAAACGAAGAATCGGCAGGTTTGTTCTTTAAAAGTATCGTCAAGTATGTTTCAAAGTATCATCGTATAATCTTATCATTGATTCTGTCCAGTCAAGAAAGACGAGAATCGCAAATGATACTGTAACGAGTATTTCGAGTAACGAGTATAACGGCAAAGCATAACGAGACTGCATTTCAAATTTGGTTCAATTATAAAAACTTTAAATGAGCTAGCCAATTTAGAAGGAAAGAGGACGTGGAAAACTCCAAAGGAAGGGTGCTAATATGATATTAAAAATTTTTGTTGCCGCAGAGAAAGAGATGCTTGCCAAGAACAAAAATAGTGCTACTGGAGTATGAATTAGAGAAATACCTTGAATTTTTAAATTAAAAGTAACGTTGGCAGTTGGTCGCAAAGCGTAAATTGGAGTACATATGTAGATTCCTGCTGACATTTCCTAGAGAAAAGAAGCAAAGTCTTAGCAAGAAAGATGCAAGCATAAATTGGATGTATAAACTGCAAAATACTAGTTTTAGTCCAAGCCTTATAAGATTCGAAATGATTGAATATAGCTCGTGGTTTAAACACAAAGGCAATGCACTGTTTTCAACTCTCTGTTACCTTTAGTGGTAGCAGGGTCTTTTAGTATGTTGTAAACTTATGGTATAAATGAGATGCTTTGTCTCTTCGTAACAAAAATTGTAAGTGAACAAATTCCATCTAGAATTATCTAGAACATAAATCAAAGTTACAAAATTCTGTCTAAACATAAGTCTCTGGTCTCTGAAAATTAAAAAAAGTTCATCGGGACTTTACCGTTGCAGAACCGATGCGATGTACAGGTCCTGTTTCAGATAAGAGATTTCCATCTTTAGTCCATCGATAATGTGTCACTGGTGGGTTCGCATCAACGGAGCAATCGAGCACCACTCTTTGCGAGAAGTTAGCTGTTATGTTAGGCGGCACAAAAGGTAAAACAGGATCATCTAAAACACAACAAAAACATTATATACATTTGTCGTTATTTGCTTTCTTTTTAGATTCCTTTTTTCATAAAATTCCTAGTTTGAGCCAACAAGGAGACAGTGAATATGTTTAATAGGCAGGGACGAAAGGGAGGCAATTGATTTTTAAATGTACATACTCAACTTCAGCATATATAAGTTTCCTGTCAAAAAGTATTCCTTGATTTATAACTTGAAGAATTTCAACCTCTTTTCCTACAATTGTAGGGGTCAAGTCATACAAATAGGTATTCTCTTTCATGTTTTATAGAAAGAGGAAGTATAACAAACTGCATTTATTTTTCTATTCTAACTCTTCAATACATCAAGAGTTATAGAAAAGAAAAAACTGGTGATAAAAATATCAAGAATCGATTGCGCCTTTATTCTACAGAATCTCTTTTACTCGAAACTTTGCACAAAACTCTAGAAAAATTCGGCTTATTGCTCCGCATTATAAGTTCCATAAGTGACAGATACAAATTTCCTTAATGTTCAAAGATAGGTTCCCCTTTTTCTGCCCAGTCATGAAACCTTACAGTTATCCAATACAGTTAACAAATGATTTATTCAAACATTTCTTTTCCAGTCATTCATATCATGCCGGTTCATCAAAACATTATGTATCATTTTTATAGCAACGATTCTATATTTACCTGCCTTTTGGTGCTATTGCCTTCATGTTAAAAGATAATTTGTAATTTTATATTTTAATTGGCTCTTTGCTAAGTAGGTTTTACATGAAATCTCATAATAGCACTTGTGATTATATATATACTCACACAAAACATTCAGATTCACCGTCTGCTTCTTTGATTGTACAGTACTTGTTGCTTCACAACTGTACTCCGCGCTATCATTCTTTGACACATTCACCAAATGTAGCTCACTTTCAACGATTGTTTCTGTATCACTTATTATAAAAGTTTTTACAGGGACGTTGCTTATTGGCACATTCGATTTGAACCAGACAAGAGTAGGCACAGGATGTCCCACAGCTTTACATTTGAAACTCGCGTTTAATGAACTGGTACTATTGACTGTGCCTTCGAGAAATATAAGGAAATCTGGTCCATCTAGAAGGAAATAGATGTAAGCATAAAGTTGGATATCTAGATAGCATTTCAGTGGAATAATATTATTTCTAAAGAATAGAGAAGCTGTGGATCCTCTAATAACAATATAAACCCGCAATATCTTTCTCCTTGTTATTTAGAGACAGTTAGTAAACATAATGATATTTTATTACTTTGAAGTTTGAATGAATATCACTTTTTATGGGTCAGTTTTACGCAATCTTTTTCATGCTCAAAAGCTTTTAACCTCGAAACTAGACTGAAAGACTTGGCATGCTATCACAAAGTTTAATGTGTATTATGAACTGTTCTAACAAAAAAAAAAGAATTTACAGTTTAGCGAAGATTGAAATTGGGATCAGTCTGACGCAAATAACGGAAAAGTAGAGTAATGCCTGATTTGCTATCAGTATGAAAAATGAAGCCATTGTTATGGAAAAATGAAGCCATAATTATGAAACATGAACCTGTCAGTACAATATTAGAAAACATTTATATGAAATAAGAAATCTTAAGAAGAATATATGAAGTAAGAATAGCTAACTATTAAGCCAGCAATAGAGAATCAGATACCATAAGCACATGAAGCAATCAATACAAAATATGAAGTGACCAGTATTGACACAGAAAAGCTGTGGTATTGATATGCAGTAGAATGAAATACGGAATCACCAGTATAGCATATAAAGTCATCAATATAACAGACGAAGTCATCAATATAAGAATCAAGTCATCAATATAAGAAATTAAGTAATCATCATTAGCTTGTGTCCCCAATTAGCTTGTAAGCTAAATATTTTTTTGACACGTTAATAAAGTTTTTGACTGATTGATTGATTGATTGATTGATTGATTGATTGATTGATTGATTGATTGATTGATTGATTGATTGATTGATCATAGCTTACACAGGTATTATATTAAATAGAAACAAGGGTTGATCTCTAGCAAACTACAACTTACACCAAACATTGACTTTCACTGATTTAGATTCGCTGCCAATAAGGTTCGATGCATTGCAAAGGAAAGTGCCGTTGTCCGTTCTTTTGACGCCATTATAAAATTTCAACGAACTCTCAACTATACTCTTCGTGTCGTTTGATGATATTACTGTATTTGAAACATTTCCAGTGCTGACCACTCCGTTGTGGTACCATCGTATCGTTGGCATAGGGTTGGCTTCAACTAAGCATTTTAGCTCGTAGGAGGAGCTAGATTCTGTGACGTTTTTAGAAGATCCAAAAGACGGCTGCACTGTTGGAGCATCTGTAGATTCAAATGTAAAAGCTTGGATTTCTTTTAAAATATACTTTCATTAAGTATCATTTAATTAAATACTCAATGACAATTTTGTAGAAATATTCTTCAATGAAAACTGATAGTTCCTCAGCTAATTTTTTACTGGTGTATGTCAGACACCAGCAAGCTTTATTCGGAGCTAGGTTGGGGGAGTTGCTACCAGATGAAGAAGTAAATGGGATTATGAAATTTCGTTGGTTAATGTGAAATACAAGCCCTGCCCTATCTTGTTCTCTTCAAATTTCCAGCCTTTTGTTGTGCGGAACTGGAAATGAAGCTACTGAGCTCTTTCTCCTGCACTGCTCTCAGATTGGCTTGGAGCGCAATTATCTCTTGCTTAAGAATGCTCTGTTCTTAGTTTGGATATTTTTCAAGTTGTTACAAAGAATTGTGGTCCCTTTTAATGTACAGCTGATTTAGATATTACTTTTATAAATCGTCAGCTGTAAGGAAACTGCGTTGCAAATACCAGTGATTTCATAAATATTAATCAATTTTTTTCCTGGTACAATTTATTTACATCCATCGTTATTATACCAGTAATAGCAGTCTGTTTAAACTAAAAAAGTTTCTTTCAATAAAGTTTATGCAGGGGCAAGCATAAGCTTAAGTACTGTCATTGTTTACTCGACAGATACTCCTCACTTACTCTTAAAAGGTTTTTTCGCAACCGGCATGCTTTGCGACTATATTTTCAAAACCTGCCTAATATCATACTTTATGAAAATACAGAGCACAGTCAAAATACAAAAAAAACCGCTAAGCATGCCGGTGAAGCAAGAGCCTTTAATACCAATAAATAGAGACAATGATTGCAGCAACTTACATTGTATAATGAGACGGGTGTAATCTTCAGCTGTCCCAACGCTGTTTGCAGCGGTGCACTTATAGTCACCCGAGTCCTCTTTCACCAGTTGGCTTATATTCAATATTGATTCTGCAACCCCGTGGTATTGGCTCTCTGATACATTTGTGTTCTTTATGACAAATCTTTGACCCGGTCTTATCAGGACACCATCCTTGTACCACACAATATTTGAGCTTGGATTGCTACTGACCTTACAGTACAACGATGCATTCTCGTGTCTTTGTTTTATAATAATTGATGACAATGAAGATAACATCACTGGTTTGTCTGTAAATAATTCAAATACTAAGTATTGGTACATTCAACGACTTATTAACGATGTTACATTGCTAAAAAGGAAACATAATTAATTCTTGAACGTTGCTAAAGCAAATGCATAAAAGCAATCTTTCTATATTTGTTAAGAAATCATAGACGTAGGAACCAGGGGGTACAGGTGGCACACCCTAGTTTTCAGAGAAAGTTGTTAAGTACTTGTAGCTTACAGCGGTGCCCCTATTTGATCACACGTGCCCCCATCCCCTCAATTCTGAAATGATTCATACGTCTATATCAAGAATACCCAAGTTTAACTCGAGTTTAAAGACTGAGAAAGGTTTGCAGGTATCATTTAGAAATAGCATGTAAAAATAAGCTTTTAGATCATATACAAATATTCCTCTATATTACAAGGTAATGTTCGTTACCTAGGAAAGCTGGGTATTTTAGGTCTACGATCGCAATTAAAAAAAAAACAATTTTTCAAAGAGGAAAATCTCTACTTGAGATAAAAGCATGAAAACCTTCTAGATAGCCAGGTCACATTATATTACTTGGTTAATTTGAGTGATGTTTAAAGATCAACCTTTAGAACCAAAAAGTTCATCTTTAGTTTTTAAAAAGGGTCAAACTTACACAAAACAACCAACTGTGTTTCTTGGGACACACTGCCCTGGTGATTTGATGCTATACATCTATAAACACCTTGTATACTCTTATCGACAACATTTATCTTGAGAATGCTTCTCTTTCTTTCATGGTAAAGATCTTTCGACACCAATGTACTTGTTATATTAATCAACGGGCTTTTTGGTACTGTGCCATTGTATAACCAGTTGATTGTCACATCTGGGTTGCCTTCAAATAAACATTCGAGTTCTTGTGCACCACTTCCATTTACAAAGATGTAGCTTGTAGATAAATAAGTCAAATTTTGCGGTGCAACTAGAAATAAAGATGTAGTGTTTATAGAGAATCTAAAATATCCATAAAGCTTGACAAGACTAAAATAAGAACAGATATGGAGGGAATCTTCAGCTGAATAATTCAAAATAACAAGGTGTAATTGAAAACATGACTCAAACACAAAAATATCAAAATCGAATACCCTATCAATTCGAAAGAATTCTTTCAACTTTCTATTTTCCAATTCTCTCCCAGCAAATGGGGGGGGGGGGTGGGCTCATCAGACCTGAACCGAGTAAGTCTTTCTCCAGAATTCTTACCTTTGGCAACTACAAAAAGTAAAGCAAAATCTTTTTTAAGAACCCAGTTCAACTTCAAAATAATCTGATTACAAGAATTGATCTCATTGTAATATATCGTAAGAGTTGTTTTATCATCACAAGGCAGAGGTGGCGAGAAATTAGACGCTAGAACACAAGCACTGCTTTTGCCTATTTTTAGTGGCTAGGTGACTATGAAAAAGCACTTAACATCATTATGAAATACTAAAGATGTTTGATCCAGGTCTTGGTATCTTCTTGGTCCATATTTTTTGACACCCTTATCTTATCAATGCAGTGATTCAAATTAGATAAAAAATGTGATATTTAAATTCAGATTATAGGTGCAAGAGTTCAAATTAGATCATATGCCATTTTGTAGGTAAGTTATAATGCTCCCTCGGATAAAAACTTCTTACAAACATAGCTAGGACTAAGGCCAAAAATCGGTTTACAATGAACAACTACTTTCATTAAAACAATTACATTCATTACAATTGAAAAAAATACCCTTTTAACTGTTAAAAAGATTATAGATATGGTGGAAAACTCTAAAGTTTCTGTAATTCACTCGAAACGTGCTATATAGTTTTGCTCCCACGTTGTGAGGATTGATAGTAAATTAGTTATGAGAGAAGCTTCTAAGATATCATCAGGATTTTTAGGTCAGCCTTTTTGGGCCTAAATGACTTTATTTACAATAACGCATTGGCATAGGATTCCTCCATCAGAAAAACCTATTTTAGAAATTTAGAATTTTGACCCCATAACCTGAAAAAACCCCATAAAATACCTCAAAATGTGCAAGAAAACAGATGAATCTGTTCAAAATTGAGTGTGTTGCTGTGCGTTAGCAGGGAAGAGTAGAAAAAGAAAAGGCGACTTAAGGTATCCTTGAAATAAAGACTTACAATTGACAACTAAGGTCATATTCTTTTCAATTGCACCAAGACTATTTTGTGAACCACAGGTATAAACTCCCGAATGAGATCGATTAGAACTTTGAATGTCAAATGTAGATCTGTATCTATAAAACTGCAAAGGCGACTGTAACATTGACGTATTAAATGATGTCAGCGACGAAAAGCTGGGTTGATTTGCTGAATTCCTTCTCCAATAGAGAGAGCCACGTGGATTGGACTCGAAGTCACAAGTCATCTTAATACTAGATGAGGCATTGGTAAAAATCTGACTTGGAGATGATGCAATTAGCTCTGGCTTGTCTAAAGATGAAAAATCGAATAAATTACTGTAAAAATTTGAAAGGAATATCAAGTTGCGCATTTGAAAAGGAAGAATAAATTGTGACAAGCTTGAACGCTGATGTGAAAAATGTTAATGATCAAACTAGATTATGAATGCTAAATTTACATTCTGTGTAGATCTAGCGTTATAAATGCTCTTATGCTGTAGGCTTATTTCCTCTTTCGTCAAACTGTGCAAGATGACATTGGTGTTTTATAAGGTAAACGGATATTAGACAAAGCGAATCAGAAAATAAGGAAATGATGTTAATAGTATTAATAATGAAAGTTATAGAAGTAATAAAACGATGAAAATAATAAACACTTAATAATGCTAAAAGGTTGTAAGAAGAAAATGATTGATCCAAAATTGTTGTCCTAGCAGAAACAAAACATTGCATAAAGATCAAAGGAATAATAAAGAAAAGCAAATAGGCCATCGTTCTATAAACACCATTTTTATAATGCTTTGCATTTTTCAAGGAGCATTTGTAGAATCAATTAAACGAATAGAAGACCCACAAAACTTTTCCTGCTGACTGCATGTCTTCAGGCTGATCGGATCGACCTTGCAGTGCTTTGAAATTAAACGAATTTACTGATGGAAAACTTACATGTGACTACAACTGACATTCGTGCTGTCACTGTACCAAGAGCGTTTGTTGCAGTGCATGAGTAGTTTGAGAAATGATTCTTCTCAATGGATTCAATTTTCAGAATACTTGTGATTCGAGTGTGATTTTCTGCTCTGAATTCCGATGCAGAAACAGATAGTACGCGAGAAGGCGCATATTTTGTTCCATTTATGAACCATTCCAGAAATGCAGCGGGGTTTGATATTACAATACACGACAGGGTGAAATTGGAGGTACCAAGTGGAACAATGTTTTGACTTGGGCTGTTGTGCACCAATTCAGGACCAACTGTAGGAGAAAATGAAAAATAAGGAAAATTTGGACAAGACTGTAAACACAAATGAATAATGCGTAAAATACTCAACATATTAACAATTAAAACACTGTCCTATGTATCATGTTAACATCGTTGTAAAGGGCTTGAGTGAAAGATATTTATCACGAAAAATTTGAAACAAGGAATTCAAAAATATTCATTTAAATGATAATTTCGTATTTTGAAGACAAAGAAAATTATCTAACGCGTTAGTAAACTTTTGCCTTAGATTTTGTGTAGCTGTAGGCCTTGATTTGGCAAAATGTTTTGTGGCAGTGTCTCAGACTTGATATGAATACATACATGTTATATGTATAAGAGTGCGTGATATAGTAATAATTGATAACTTACAAGTAACATTTAGTGTAATATTCATTTCTTTAGATCCAATTGAATTGGTTGCTATGCATCTGTACACGCCATGGTCATTGCTATCCACTGCGCGAAAGTTCACCTCACTCTCAACAACTGAGAAACTAGAGTTGGTCTTCAAGATTCTCGATGATGAAGCGACAGCAATAGCACCATTTCCACTGAACTTGTGCCACGTTACCGAAGGCACTGGCTCCCCATAAAATGTACATGACAGCCTAGCTGATGAGTTTTTGATGACCGTGATTGTTTCATTTAAACTAGCGTACAGAGCGGGTGGAACTGCAAAAAATATCACAATCGCTTGTTTTTATTACAGTCAAATTAAGAAAAAAGGTGAGTATCAGAGCTAAATTAAATCACAAAATTTGAAAACTACAGTGCTGGAGTGATCAGAATGTTCTACTCGACATCAAGTTGGATAGCTCCGTAAATAGATTGAAGCCACTGACTTGGCCTAGTTTACAACTGCTGTGGAGGAATGGTAATTAGTGGTAATTGAGTAAAGTTTTGCCTGCATCCCTATATAACGTTGATTAGCAATCGCCTTCCCCAAGGTATCTAGAATCCCTGCAAAAAATTCCTTGGAACATTCTTCAGTAGAACTAAAAGAATTAATGGTGAAAGTGCGTTAGCTGTAATTCAAGCACTGTAGATGGTTAATATATCTCCTGAAGTTTTACTGAAAATATGCTGATATAAAAAGATTAAGTATCATTCAAGCACTTTAATAGCACATATTACAAGCACATATTGCCTCCAAAGATTTACTTACCCTGAACAGTGAGGTTGAGGGCCACAGATCTTCTTGCAGCAATGTAATTAGCGGCGGTGCATTGGTATGTACCCTCATCGGAAATTGCTGCACTCTTGATTGTGAATGTCTGGTTCGAGGAATTTGCGAGCAAGATGCCATTTCGGTATATTTCGAAATAACTGGTTGGCAAAGCTGTTGCATTGCACGTAAAAGTGACTCTATCGCCAAGTACTGCAGTGTTATTTGGCTTGTCAGAGAAAAAGCTGACGTTTTTCGGGGGATCTAGAAAAAATATAAAGTTTTTTTTGGTAAAAGCTCATTTGAAATTCAGAAGTTCATGATAATCCTCAGCCCGATCAAAACATGGCCACGTACAATAAAAATTAGCTAATAAACCTTTTATACCTCCACAAATCAGAACTTATGACAACATCTGACTTTTTCACTTTAAGCGTTTTTCAAAATCCTTCTACTGTATAATCTTACTTCGAAATCGTGTAAAGAAGCAAGGTTAAATCATTGGAGGTTTTCCATCTTTCTTTTTCACAATTGGCACCACTTTCACACCAAAGTACGCTCGAGAAATTAAACTATACCATGTTCTATCTTTCTTCAAAAATTACAAATGTAAAGATAATTTATTCAAGCTAACAACAGGCGGATTCGATTAGGCAACGGTATCTAAGAATGTTAGAGTTTGCATTCGTTGGATTCAAGTAAGAACTCATTTTGCTGTGTAGCCCGCTAAAGTTACATCGCCCAGACCCAAACTGCCTATGTATATGCTTTGGGCGATCTCAAGCATGGGCGTAGCGGATGCTAAACGTTAAGGAGGGGAGGGGGGGGGCTAGTATGGATTATATATTGAGATATAAATACCCGAATAGAGCTTAAAAAATGAAATAAACTTTTCCTGATTAGGGAGACTGCAGCGCTCCTAGTCACAATGACCTTACGTCCATGGCATAACGGAAGGCTACCTTAGTTCGAACTTTATGGTCAAACCTCAATTATTTTAAAAGTAGATTGTTCATGACGTCACATTTAAGAATTCTATTGGACTTTTTGTCACCGCTAGCATAGATTGAGCTTACAAATATAAATTGGGTCGCAAACGCCTATTGATGATGTTTCGTAAAGAAGAATTTATTTCATATATTTACTTTTTCTTCAAAACAATCATAAAAATCTTACAGTGAACTTTGAAGTTTGTAGAAGAGAGAAGGCGGGCCAAAGGAATCTCCGCGACACATGAAATGTTGCCTGAGTCAGCTAGGGCTGCTCTGTGTATTGTCAAGGTACTTCGTACAATCGTAAGATTACTTCTATACCCAACCACTTTTGCCTCAACTTTATAGCTTGATCCATTGACAAGAAGCACTTGGTTGGAGTACCAATTGATTTGCGGAACTGGTCTCGCTTCAAAAGTGCACTGCAATATTGATGTCTGCCCCTCTATTGCAATAACCTCGTTTGGAAGCGGCGATGAAAGTGACGGGTAAACTGAAATAAAAAGTTAATTTTTATGAAGATAGGATCAAATATCTTTCATAATCTGCAGTCGCAAGCTTGGCGTTATAAGCGTTAATTATTCTTCTTGATATCTGAAGGGAAACTGTTTTTCAGTTCTTGTGATAGTGTCTCCCAATTCTTTTTCTTATATTTCTGACAGTATCGATTCAAAGACAGGTTGTTTTCACCTTCGGTAGTTTATCGGCACAACTTAGATTATAAGGCATTTCTTTTCCTAAAAATTTACTTCGAAGAGCTGGAACTTATATATAACTTTGTTTTATAGATATCTAAAAAGAACAACGGCATGTTCCTCTGATGGATTGGTACCTTGTTATTCTTATAATTTGTTAAAATTAGAAACATTTCCAAAACTTTTTCACGTAAAAGCTATCAATCAACACAAAACTGATGCATTCATTGATTTCATTCATTTCAATGTTTTGCCAAAAATAAATGTGAATTATTTTAAAATAGTTCTAAAGAAAATTCCTTACTTGTTACATTAATAAAAGCTTTGTTATAAAGCGGTGCCCCATCAGAGAAATCAGCATTAAATGCAATGTATCCTTCGTCACTGAGGGACATATTCTTCAAGAGGATTCTTCCATTTCCTTTGAATTCGATCCTCCCTTCGTATGGTTTGTTTTTTATCACAGGTGAGTTATTTTTCGACTTCACCATTATGCTAAGACCAATTTGCACATTGTCTTGAGATACTCTGTACCATTTTATAAAATCTGGTTCTGCGGCGTAGGCGTAGGTCCAGTTGAAAATCACATCAGAGCCAAGTTGCACGTAGGCTGGAGACGTCGGTGTTGAGACAAAGTATGGGGATCCTGTATGAATAAAACACTAAAGTCGTTTATTATAGGTTCATGGCGCATTCACAATAGTAGACAGAATTTAGTAGTTCTTTTAGCTTGAATACATTCGACAATTCCTAGTTACTTACATCTTAGTAGACGAAATCAGTACATCGTGAAAATCCGATTTAATTAGAAAAACCAGTAAAAAAGTTACAAATCTATTTTCTATGTGATCATTTTAAGACATTTCTTGTGTCTAACGATTTTACTCGAAAAATATTGTCATCCAAAATTAGACTTGGCATGCAAAGATGAAACACAACTGATTTTGCTTATTCTTCATCAAACCATAATCTTAAGATAACGACAGATCCACCTGATATTCAGTATTGACAATCCCCAACCATTCCTGATTTATGTTAAAACCTTATTTAATTCCACTCTCTTTGCACAAATGTTTGGCTACTCAAGACAGATGTACTCTCTGCACGATCTGGTTAGGGTCAATGAATTTCTTACATTCGATAAACCTTTAACGTACAATTGAATGTAACATAACTACAGCTTCTGTCACTAGATGTATGGTGCGACTCGCCGATATGAAGTGAGGGGAAGTGAGGTGAGATGAGATGAGGTGAGGTGATGTGAATGTGTCAAATGTGAGGTCACAGGCTTACCAAAGCGAAAACGCGCGTCAGTTTTCCAAATGCAAGCGCTAGTAACTGACAATTTATGAAATATACTTAAGAAATTAATCATTAGCACTTTAAGAATGAGTTTAAGCAATAAAATGAGGTTGGAAGAAAGTGTGCCGTGAAACAAGATGAGTTTTCTGTGACCCTTGTGGGCAACCGTAAAAACATTTATCAGTGGCAAAAACAATAGACGCTTAAACAATTCAGAAGCCCCGACCACGATAAGAGTAGACAAATTGCCTGATTCTAGACAAACCATGAAAAAGCCACGAAGTAACAAAGGGGAAGTGTTAGCAAACACTTCATGCGGTCTTCGATTACATTAACAATTTATACGTGCATTGGAAAATGTATGATAAATCTAGTAAATAAACAGGTGGACTACGTCAAAGGGGAAGGTAAATTTGATTAGGGAACGACTGGTTGCCTTTAAATGATAGGAAAAGCACATCTTTTAGCCATGACTGGACAGTAAAGTTATCTATTATGAGTGGATGACTGAAGAAGTGGGCTTATTCCTTCAACAATAGTCAGCTTCGAGAAAGACCTGCTAGGGAAACTTACATGACTTTCGTACATACTCGCCTATCACAAAAACTACTAGTTTGCTTATCAGGGATAAAGTTTCCCCTTTTCCTCGCAGTTATTGCCCTTGTAAAATCAAGATTCCGACAATTCATGTTCATAGATGATTTGTACAGTCAAGGTCTTTGCAAAAAGCGAAATTCTGAATTTGAAACTATTAAAGGAAACGATAAATGACATTCTTCAGTAGGTCTGTCTGCATTAAATATATTCTCACGACAAGTCAGAGTAACAAAATGCTCCCTCTCGCTAAGTCCCAACTTATTTTTTCTCAACTTTAATATTCATGCACGTCTTACGCAAGATCATTGTTAACTTATTTACTAACTAACTTCATCAAACTTTATTTCTTTATATCTCTAATCTTTACTTTACATTTGATCATTACCTTACGAGAAATGCTCAGCGCAATGCCCTTGGGAAGATTGTGAGATGTTCAGAAAGACGATACTATCCCAATTAACCTAAAGGATCATATATCCCTGCCAAGCTTTGAAATAAAATTCATAATTACATGGGTCGCAATCAACCATGCAGTTCTTCTGTGAAAAATTGGCTGATTCCAGGAAAAACTTCTTTTGGCGAATAATGTCAGATTTGCTTAACTATCGAGATGATTAGAGGTAAGACGGTGGTTGGTAGTGATCCCAGAGAAAATAAATCAATTGTATAAATGGATGTGGTAAAAGATTTGTGCGATTCGATAAAAGTATTTAGAACTGGTAAACGCTACCAAATTTAATACACTTTCTTCTTTATTCAGAAGCTATTCATTGAAATGTTTCTAAAAATATCGTTGATAACCTACTTACAGCCAAATTAACTCTTAAAATATGAATACCAGAATGAATATTTCCATACCTTGAATTCCGTGAAAGCATGAAATTACCACGAAGAGGGCGATGTTGATCTTCATATTTGCAATAGAAATAATACTGGTTCTTGCTTCTGAGGATTAAAAAAATATAACAGACTTCAACATTGAGGTTTAATGCAAAGAATGTGTGTTTTAGAAATGCTGTTGGCAAAGCAATAGTTTTAAAGATTCATCTTGGTTCAGTTTACAGAGAATTCATGTTTGAGAACTTCTTTGAGACAAGGTGTTGTGAGAAGAAAACACCTTTTATCCATAGCAACGTTTCATTCAAATTTAACACCATTTATTTGTTGTTTGCTACTGAAACTAATAACACCTAAAACCGTACAGTGTCTGAGCAATTGTATGTGGCAACAAAGTGAAAAGATTGTGGCTCAGTGACAAACAATTCACTGTCATGAAGCATGAAAAAAACAGAGGAAACATAGCTGCTCCTTCTAAGAACAATTTTTAGTCATTATCTTAAAAGATTAAATGCTCTAACAGTGGCTCGTTTAGGATTGTTTATGTAATATCCTTGCCAATTTAGACAAAATTTCGACTATATGAGATTTTCTCAAATAATCTGCAAATCTACAAAATACCATCCATTGTTTTCCTTCCCAAATATTTTCCTTCTTTCTCACATTGTTTCTTATATAGTTATTCTTCAATCAATCTATTGATTATGGATTATTTTTCCAACATTGATTGTTTGTAGTTGTGCATTTGCTCTCAACAATTTAAGATAAGCCATACTCTATTTTCAATCATTACTAAATGTACTGCAGTGCAAGTAGCCTCAGGTTCCTCTAGGGCTCAAATCTGCCTTGGTTGAATCCGGATTTGTTTTAGTATACATGGAACAAGTAATTGCCCAGCTTTAAAAAAATCTGTATGCTTTCTATTGGTTGTAGAAATGATGCAATGTCTAGAATAATTTACAAGAATATATTTTAGTTGACACCCGCTTAAACAGCCAAAAGTTAACACTTATTGCATAGGGAATCATCCCAAAAATTTGCTCCAAGTTTTGTCTGACACAACTTCCTTACAAGTTTCATATACATAAAATAATGTTGTAACTTATTCTGATGTCAAGTAAAACAAATTTTAAGACCTATTATCAGCATTAATGCTTTATCTGAGAACATTTCAAAACTGGTTTCAAAAACTTGCAAATATGAGATTAAGTTGTACCGGTAAAACAACTAGCTGAAATTTTTAAGCAGATGTCCATACAGACATCTCTATACTCGTGAATCAAGGCTGTGAATAATGAAACAACGAAGTCAAATATGCAGGTGTTATCTTCTCTGCGCATTGGAAATTTGAAGGATTCTTGTGAAGATCTTTGTCTATTTTCTGTGTCCTATTGACGTTTCCTTCTCAGATCAATACTATCATTGAAAACACAAGTTTATCTAAGCATAAGTCTGTCTAAACCCTATATGTCAGTTAGCACGCTCAAAACAGATTCATACAATGTTAATCTTGCCATCCGGTGTAATAACGCTTCTGATGAATTTTCATTTCCTTTTGCTAATGAATATAATACGTACAGCGCCTATGTTAAGCCTGCAGATTATGAGAATCTTTGCTGTACTTTAACCTTTCCATTGGATAGATGTTGAGCCTTTGTGCTGTACCAGAAAACAGTCATGGTCCAGATATTTTCTTGCTGTTCTCAAGCTGCACTTATATTTTACAACTTGCAGTTTAGTTGAATCATTTTTACATTAATTTCAAAAAAAAAAATTAAATGCAGGCAACCTTTACAAAAGAAAGGCCATAACAAGAAATTTATCGTTTAAAATATATTTATAAAAATGCTTGGAACTTTTGGAATAATACACATTGATATGCTTAAGATGCTAAACGCAGATCAGCACACAAGAAACTTTTTCACTAAACAGATTGTTAATTCCGCTGTTTGCTACAAGGCTCTCTGTCTTATAAGCAAAGCATCGGACAATCAAATTTCTTCTAATGTTTTCTTCTTCTCAACCTATGTTGACCTTCTTATCAGTTCTGTATTCAATCACCAAGCCGATTGCAAGCTAAGCGTATAGCAAGAATTACTATTTTATGTAGACTGAATGTTGAAGTCAAGACAAAATTTCATTTGAAGAGCTGACTTTTATTATTTATAGAAAAAAACCTGCATGAAACATTAATAGTTCCTTTTCATGCTGAAAAATTTCCATTGATTGTAAATAGTCTTTACTGTGATTGTCTTACTTTCATTGTAAAGTAATAAAAAGTATATTCAGCATTTAACTGCAACCTCAGATTAGTTATGTAACATCATACAAGATACGCAAAATATGGTATCAAACAAATACTATTCAAAATAGGAGAGGGAGGTGGTATTCGATTTTTAAGACCTTTGACAGTGATAAAATTAAACAAAAGTTAGGTGCTCCGCAAAACTGAATATTTCGACTGATGAAGCTTTTTTGATTGTACAGCATGACAACACGACAAGAAGAAATAAAATCACTGTGTAGAATAAAGATTTCGAAAGATTCAATTATGAGAATGATCATCTTGCAAAGTTCTACATGGTACGTAATCACGGCAAAACAAGAGTGCCAAATTTTGCAGATTTAGCTTGTGGCAATAGCACTGCTTCGAAAGCAACAGTCGTGAAATTGAAAGACATATTTTTTCAGCAGGCTCTGAGGCTCAATAATTCTTCTAAACTTCATTGCATACTCCTCTTTGCTATTGACAGTCAGTAGAACTTAAAACACCAAAAAAATTTCAAAATCATCATTTAAAAAATAATACAAATCTTGAGTTTTGAGTCTTGCCGATTAACATCAAAATTTTTCTTTATAAAGATTCAAATGAAGCACTTACCACTTAACAAGCATTTGCATATTGAAACATAATTATTTTGGCTTTTCTTGTGCCTAACGTCTAGAATCACTAGAGTTGCAATGGTCAGCGTAATAAAACTGAGATGGTACTTGCTGTATGCTTCAATAGCATTATATGATGCAAATGATGTGCTCATCAATTTTTCATAATTCTACTCACAGTCATAGACCACCGTTAATGTTATGAGAGAATGACTAGGTTCATTAAAAATTGATTTTTTCAAAGACATTCCCTGTTGCTAAATTGGTTTTTCAAAGAACCACCAACCACATTTTAATAGCTTTCAGCTAACAGAGTCACTTACTTAGCCATAGGATCTCTGCACCTAACAAGAAAAAAAATTTACGGAGTGCTGAAAGATGTTTCAAAGAATTTAAAAAGCAGGACAAATTTTTGTTATGTTATGTTATGTTATGTTATGTTATGTTATGTTATGTTATGTTATGTTATGTTTGTTATGTTATGTTATGTTATGTTATGTTTGTTATGTTATGTTATGTTATGTTATGTTATGTTATGTTATGTTATGTTATGTTATATGTTGCACTGGCATTCACTAACAATTTACATTGACTATAACTGGAAGGTGGTCTCAAAGGAAGGCACAAATTTATGGTCAACCAACCAAATTTGATTACATGAAGTTTTCAGTTTAAAGAGTGAAATGATCTAAGTTTTTCAAAAATTTACCTTCGGCCTTGATAGCTTGGAGCAAAAGGATTTTTATTTTAAAGGCATTGAGTCATGACAAAATGGATTGGGTATACCCTAAGTGCCAAAATCCGCTGAGTCATGATTTTCATGACTGCCATGCTATTGGTTGACCTGGAACTGGTCACGTGAACTCACCTCGTACTGATTGACAAAACAATTTCCATCAATAGTAAGTTGTCAACAATGGATAAAAGTATCACATGAAACAGCAGCGATCACGCCGAAACCAAATGACCCCCTATAGAGAAGGCCTATTTACCATGACTCAATCCCTTTAAATGAAGATTTGTGTATGTGGCTGTTATCAGTTTGTCTGTTTTTGTTTAGATAGGTAGTTGTTATCGATTGGGTGCCTTTTTCTTTTTACTTCAACTTGTGCAAGCTCCACTATTTTTGTTCTCCACGCCCCCTACCCCCTTGCCAGTTTGTGAAAGTTCTGCATGTCATTTACACATGTATCCATCAGTGGCATACACTGATCCCCTGATAAGAGGATGCTAAAGTAATATCTAGCTCCTTATAATCGACCTTGTTCCTATTGCAACTCACTTTGGGCAATATAACCGATCCAGTAACGATTTTGAAAATTAGCTAACGTCATGCAGCAGCACGCCCTACTGTGCCACAAATCAGGAGCGTCACCAGATGACTTTAATAAAGGAAAATATGATTTTGGGCAATATAATATGATTCGATTTAAAATATGATTCCTCGTTCTGACTATTGACTTAAGATGAAATTACCAGAGATGAAAAATAAGATTTGGATTGAATGTCAATGAATGTGCATTGATTGAAACAAATGAAAAGAATTCAAATACTTGAGGAAATATTAATTTTTAGTTTGAGAGAACAGGAAGTAGAAAGCGGAATAAAGGAAAGTAGAAAGAAGAAAGAAAAAAGAAAAGAACGAGCAAAGAGGAAAGAGGAAGCAGGGTAGTAGAAAGAGAAAAGTAGAAAGAGAAAAGATGAAAAAGGAAAAAAGTATGAAGAAAGAATATATAGGAAAGAAGAACGAAGAGAGAGGAATGAAGGGAAAGGAATAAAGAACGATGAATGATGAATGAAGAAAGAAAAATGAAGAAAAAGGAAAGAGAACGAAGAAAGGGATAGAGATGGGAAGAGATAAAAACGACAGAAGAACGAAGAATGAAGAATGAAGAACAAAGAATGAAAAACGAAAAATGAAGAACGAAAAATGAAGAACGAAAAATGAAGAAACGAAGAATGAGCAAAGAAAGAGGAACGGGAGTGTTCTATTTAGAAGCAAGGGCAACAAGAAAGTATCTAGGAGAATGGAAGATGCCAAAAAATATGATGCCATTCAATTGATACTTGGCAGCACATAATCTCAAACATGAGAGTCTTATGAAGACAGCTATAGTAGGAAAACTGCAAAGACAAAAGGAAAAGTGAATACGAAGAGATGCTGAAATGGCTTTGAAAAAAGCAAACATAGCAAGCTTTTTTTTCAAATCCATTTACAATTTTTGTACCACCAAAAGATTAGATGCTGAAATGGAAAACGAAATGAAATGAAATGTCATTTTAAATCAAGAATACTTCATGTTTTGTACCACCAAAAGATTAGATGCTGAAATAGAAAACGAAATGAAATGAAATGTCATTTTAAATCAAGAATACTTCATGGATGATTGTAATTATTGGATCTAGCCTGAAGAGCAAAAAAAGTTGGACAAAAAAGAATAAGATCTAAGATGAAGAAAGAAATGTAAAGATAAGGGAGAGAAAGAAGTAAATGTTAAGGAAGATGAATGACAAAGGAAGAAGAAAAAGAGAGGAAGAATTGTAAAAACAGAGAAGCAAGGAGAATTAAGGGAAAATTTTAAGGTTGTCATCTTTTGATCTTTTGGAGAGGTAACATCTTTTGTCCAAACATACCTGGTTACCTATGGGCTGGCTCCTATTTTACATTCAAGGTGGAATGCATTAATACATGACTTACTCAGATAAAACAACCAGGATCTATGGGGAATGTGCTTTGTACAGTCTTACTTACATAAAGCTTTATGCAATCGGCTTATTATTCATCTACAATACATGCTTTTTATTTATTTTTTAGCACACGGTTTAAAACAACCAGTACCAGGATGCCCTTAATTTTAGAATCCCTAGTACTAGGCTCCAAAACAATTAAAAACTGTAAAATTTTCATATTCCAAAAACGAGTCTAAACAGCTTTTTTTCTTACATCGTCAAGTCGCGAATGCTACCTTACCAAGAAGGATTAAATTGCCTTTTTACATATAAATATAGGAATCTTTATTGGAATTTGCTACTGTAAACAGAGTTCCAAAAATAGCAACTGCTTAGAGATCAGCTATGGTGAATTAATAGCCTTTTATAAACTTACAGCTACAAGTGACAATTTACTATCTGTTTTAAATCATCACTTGCACCCGTTTTCAGTGGTCATAAAAATCATAAGAATTAACTCTTACCTGTGATCCTGGTGTAGATTATATGTTTCAGAACACAGAGCTTATGGGTGAACTGACACGCAAAATCAACTTGACCTCAAATGAAAGCATATCGAGCATAAATACCGGAGACACTATCAGTATTTTAATATTCAACACAGTTTTCGAGTTATTGAACGTCAAAGTTAGCCACTGAACAATTTTCCGAGCACGTACAAGTTTGCCCGAGCCTGCCGCATAATCGTGACGTCACAAACACCATGTTCACATCACTTGAGCAGCACGACATTCTGGAAGGCAGCAATTCTATGTTTTTGCGGAAGAGCATCGATACATCAATTGAGTAGGTTTTGGCTCCATTTCGACAGCCTGATTGAAAAATAGATTATAACTCCTTTGCAAACCTTTCATAATAAGACTTGGAGAATATCGTACTATTGAGGCCCTTCCACGATTGTCATAAGACTATTGTGTAATTTTAAAAGGTTTGAAATATGCTTTTTTTGTAAAAATCAAGGAAGAGAAAATACATTTTTACACAAATAGTGGAACTTTGCCACGCCTTTATGCATGCGCCAAGTACGCAGAGACAAGTAAGCTCTTTGACGTGTGAATTTACAAATGGTTACAAATGAAAATCTACGAAACGTGATTTATCCACATTAGTACATACGGAGAAGAAACAATGCTTTGTTTACGGCACCCATTTCTACAAAAATACCTCTCCGTATCAACGAAGACATCTCCCTTGGCCGAAAATAAATAAAAATGCGACTTGTGCTAAACCTGGCTAGTGTGTGAAAAGGCTAAATTGTCGCGACAAAAAGGTTACCCTACAGAAAAATCTAGCTATTGCTACAAAACGAAACTATTGCCAAAGTAATTGCCAAACATCAAGGTTTTCGTTGGTTATTATCATTTTTTGTGAATGTATTGCCTTTTCATGGAAAATGGAAGAAACTGGCCGTTCCTTTTGTTTATTATGAATGTGACTACGTGATCTATAAGGAATTTGAAAAGGCTAAATTGTCGTGAGAAAAAGTTTAACCTACAGAAAAATTTAGCTATTATTGCTACAAAACGAAACTATTGCCAAAAAAATTACCAAACATCAAGGTTTTCACTGGTTATCATCTTTTTTTGTCAATGTATTGCTTTTTCATGGAAAATGGAAGAAACTGGCCGTTACTTTTGATTATTAGGAACTATGTTATGAATGGAACTATGTTATGAATGTGACTTCGTGATCGATAAGGAATGTGAAAAGGCTAAATTGTCACGAGAAATCAGGTAACCTACCGAAAAGTCAGGCCATCCACTTTGGCTGTTAGAGCTTGAATTTCTGGTCAAGGATAGATTTCTGGTCTTGAATTTCATATCAATGTCTGGAATGACCCTCACTTATAGTGCTAGAACGAGACACAGGACCGAGGAACGACAAAGTGAGCCGACCACGATGAAAGATAAAGGGTCTTTTATTAAAGCAGCACTGATTGTCGAAAACGGGTTGTTTGATGAATCTAGACATAAATGCATTTAACTTAGATAGTTATCGATTACGTGTTTAAAATGCGGACTAGGCCCGAAGATTACTTCAGATGGATAGGTGCTTTCATAATTCCTTGCAACATCCAAAGACCGAGATTTTTACAATTTTTTGTGGTTCTTGGCCATATCTACAAAATATATTTTGCTGCATGAATTTTACATAAATATCCTTTTAATCCGTAAAATAATTATCTGAAATTTTCTTCTAACATGAAAATGGCTTTGAATGCTTATCGGCCTACAAAAGTAATTCTGGTATAAGAATTTTCACGGTGTTTGTGTGATCAAGGCCATAGCTTTTACCTATTATATATGTCATCCATTTTTCCGGGAATCTTCAAACAGCAAAGTAAAGTGAAGTTTTATTCAATTAAAAAAATATCGACTACGTGCACTCACTTTCTTCATAAGACTCAAAGGGTGATGTTCATTTTGGAAGTTTCAATACCCGTTTCCTGGTGATGGTGTCATTAATTTTAAAATTTGGGGCCCGTTATTAATATTTTATGATAAGAAAATTTCTAAAAATATCAGATACTTCTTTGGAAGGGTTTTTGCAGCTGCAAACAGTAGGACTATTAAATGTTTCTATTGCTTTCAAATGCTCGTGTCATGAAAGTTCTATCGATAAACTTGCTTCTGTTATGATCCTCTACCTCGATTAAGGAACTCTAAAGGTTAGACACAGAATTTTTAAAGTTATATGCAAACACTAAGCTATGGGCTTTTACAAATTCAATCGTTTGTAATTCATATTCTCCGGGTACTGAAGCTTCTAATTTTTTCTGGACGCAGGCTAGCATGAACAAGCCTATTTTTTTCGCCCCTGGACAAATTATCTAGTTTTGTCCTCGAGAATATTGAAATAAGCTATGACGTTAACTTAAAATTAACATTACTACTCGCAGATACGAGTTATAAGGTAGGAAGACTTGTAACCCGAAATATTATCATAACAAAAAATTAAATAAAGATCTAGTAACAGTACCCATTGTATTCCTTCTCATTCAGTACACTGTTATAAAGGAAATATACTACTTTCTGACAATTATTGAGGGAGATCCGGCCCCCAGAACAAGGATGAAAAATGTTTTGAGCCAATCAGACTGTTTGTTTACAATTTGAACCACCCAATGGTATAGCGTCAAAGACAATAGAAATCTGAGGAGAAAATAGCATCGAATCAGCCGCAACAGTAACGCTCGCACCTCCTATCCAAAGCTGTGGGGAAAAACCGGCGCCACAAAAAGTTAACGCTGAACGCGAAAATTGTCATTATTGAAGTGCTTCATACAATTATGCATAGCAAAGGAGAATATCTAAAACTTTTCCGGCCCAAATTTTTGAAATTCGGTCGTTAACCAGAGATAAGCGATGAAACGTTTAGCCCATTATTGCCCTGATTGAATCTGCTTACGTTGGTTATGGTTGGTTGTACTCCAAGAAAACGGCATCGTGTCATTTTATTGAAAAACAGGTCATTTTTTACTTACAAAGTATGTACGTCGTATATTTTAAAGTAAGACGGAGAGATGATTATCAAACTCGGGTTTTTCCCTTCATTCTGCCTTTTTCTTGCATGTTCTTAACCCTAAGACAGTCCGTCAGCAAAGGGGAAAATTGCACTTGCCATGCGCGAAGAGCTCACAGGGAAACAAAAACAAGCTTTTTGTTCTGGCCCTAGCAACGAAATTGAACCTGTAGTGATGGATAGCCATCTTAGTTTGGTCTCGTTTTAAACTCACACATTTTTCGCGCTTTTTTAAATAATGGAAATGACGTGATATCCCTTTGTTGTTTAAGACACATGACTGTCAAAGCAACATTAAAAATTTTGAACAAAAGGTGAAAGATAGCTAGCGAAAGAGAAAATGGCGAGTTCTTCGATCATTTTTCTATGTTTTGTTGTTCTTTTATACATTTATATTTGCGTCGGAAGTCCCAAAGACATTTATCGGTCCAAAAATGGATAGGTTGTTTGCGGAAGAAAGTGGCAGAAATACAAAAAATTTTCGACACCGCGTCAATTTCCACTGCAGAGCTGCAAAAAGCTTTTGGAAACGTATCCGGAAAGGGGGACATTTGCTCGTGCTGTTCTAGAGAGATTTCCAGGTGGAGGATGACGGGAAAAAAATACAAGGTATAGTTAATAATCAAAATTTTACCGATGAGGCCTACTAACAACAGTGTGAAATGGGCATGTAAAAAAAGCCACGAGAAAAAAAATTAATTCTTGACATTTTAATCGTAGTTCCTACTTAAATTTATCAACTTCTACGCAATAAGCAGTTTATTAAAAAACATTACTCATTTATACCTAAGATAAGAGAGGGCTGAGTATGATTCAAATGGTCCGTTGCCAATATAATTACTATAAACATTGGTTAAAATAATTACCATAATTACAAGTAAACAATACATCTTAGAATATGAAAAAGAACTAATAGTGAATATCTCGATTGCTTTTACAGATTCGATAATTATTATAACTGAGATAATTTTAGTGGAAAAACACTCACTTTGGGATTAAATAAAATGGAAATTCTGAAATTTTTGTGTGACTATCGACAAATACCTTACTATTTTTTTTTAGGTAACGTATGATGATAATCGAAAAGTTGGCAGAAAGCCCAAGAGAGTTGGATCAAAAAGACTGGTCAGACCAACGCAGCTAACAAATTATGGACACGAAAGTGAAGTGAGATTTCGTTTTATCATGTTATTTATCCACAAATCCCTAGGAACTTTACAAAAAAAAAGATATAAATTACAGCAATAAGCGCTACTTGAAAGAATTAAAATTTGAAAGTTTATACAGCATACTAAATCAATGATCTAATAACCATTGCTTTTCAAAGTAAATTGTGCTTTGAGTCATGGTAGGTCTGGAAAAAATTTTTAGTTTCTGTTTGAACATAAAATTGTTGAGCTGTTTCTTATCTGCAACGGAATTGCATTTCAGGTCTCTGAACTAAGATACGAAAACGGAGGAGCTGGTAGCTACGAAAACGACAGTTCGCAACCCGAATCAAATCAGGCCAAAAGCAGAACACTCCTGGACGTCGCAAACTGGCGCAAAATATCAACAAAATTTGGCCACATTTTTGAAAGCCCTTATGGTGACCGACTTTTACCAAAACAAGTATCTGATAAGATGCATCAGTCGATCAGCAACCTGTCAAAAAGTAGGTTTTTTCCTAAAATACCTCGCCATCAATAAAAATTACAAGCATTGATTAGAACTTACCTAAGGTGCCAGTGGAGCAACTGCACAGATGTTTAGCCGCAAAATTATATCATCATTTGTTCATAACAAAATGCACCATCAGATTCCTATCAGACAAATCCGCTGCTCTAACAGTTAAAAATAAATGAAGAAAACCATTTTGAACGATTTTAACTTTAAAACGAAAGCTTTAAACTTGACTGCCTCGAAGATCGAATGTTTAAATTATAGTTAAATTTAAAGAGACGCGATTGGCTCATAGGCATTCGCTAAACAAAGGGCTCGAAATTGCGTTTTAAACGTTCGATATGACGCGTTATCATCGTCATCATAAATTATCAATCATAATCATAATCATAGATATCGTCATTTTTCGATTACATCCACCCTAAATCTCATCACCCATCTCACTTTCCTGTCCATATTTATATCAACATCATTCTCATTCTTTGAGGGTCTTAAATGCTATTTCCTTGAAAACTATAAAATATGCCATAAAATATTTTATTTCTTATCTCTAACTAGGACCAAATTTGGAAGTCGAAGTTGAGGCCATTAGAAAAGCGTTGCACCAAAGAATAAATGTCGAAGGAGAGCCACCAATTTTTAAAACTAAATTATTTCGAAAATTTTGCAAAGAAAATGGTGCTCATCAACTTTTCGATAGCCTATTAAAGTCCATGACAAAGAAACGTCATTCAGAAACAAAAAGACGAAAAATGCAGTTTTGGCAATGGAAATAATATACAAGCTTTGCTTTGGCAAAAGCCAAAAATGTAACGTTTTTCAAAAACAACACGCCTATATTTGAAAATGAATCACGTATCGCAAGAAGGTATAGAGACTGAAAAAACAATAGGTAACACCGTTTGCACCAAGACATTAAGCAACGAATTAAGAAAGCTATCGGCTGAAAACGAAGACGTCGTTAAAGCGATTGTCCAAAAAGCTGTTGAAAATAAATGGTTGATAGTTCTGATAATTGATGACTACACCACTGTTCATACGAAACACAGACCAAAGACAAATACATCCACCGCCGCCAAAATGTGCACTATTGTTTGTCGTGTTTTCCCCCATCCCCCATCTTGTTTTGAAAAGCTCATGTATATTTGGGTGATTTAATTTTGATGTGTATTAAGGCCGGAAGTTAAAATCCAAACGAACATATTGATGAAAGGAGTTGTATTGAGTAGAATTTTCGAGACAGCTTCTCGAGGCAAGAGATGCTTAATGATACCTATTAATATTGCCGTGCGATCTTGTGTTTTTGCAAGGTGAACTGTTTCCCGTTTGATGTTTTAAAGAATGTTATTTATGTGCAAGTCAAGTTAGGTAGATTTCTATACCTACTCATCTGTCACATCGAGAAATAAAATACTACAGTCTTTTTAGGCTGGTTATGCCTTATAAATAATTCATAAGTTTTAACAATAAAAATAATTTAAATTGATCTTATCTGTGTTTTGGTTCCCTAGTGCTCTCGCCCGCTTCTGTCCTAAGTCCCAAGGCCATGTGATTGTGTGGCCTGAAAACTTGGCATTGTCACTTAATTTGCGGTCGAAGATCGGCAGCAAAATTATGATTTTGGAAGAACTTGAAGTTAATAAAATGGAATTAACTGAACTTTGTTTTGTTGGCTTTCCCGGTCTTTAAATGTCCATTCATTTCATCTAAACACCGAGCGGAAAAACTTCGTGCGTGTCTTGACTCGGCAAGGCGGGAAAGTCGAAGTAGAACGCGCTTCGAACGCAGGAATGGATCAACCAATCAGAGCATTTTTCCCCTCTGCTCAGTCCGTCAACTTTCTTTCATTGAGTGCGTTCTAGAGTGTTGCGTATAGAAGAAATGCATATCTTGAGAAAATAGCGGCATTGTTGCAAATATTTATTCCAAAATC